CCATACTCCCAGAACCTCCAAGAAGACAGCGAAGACGGACTACGAAATGGTATGCACCTACCCCCTTTCGGAAGTCTTGAATTTCCAGGTACCCATAGAAAAAAAAAAACCAAAGCGTATACCTCACGACCACGGCTTCTACCTTTTAGCACAAACCTTCTTCGCGGCCCCGAACACCAGGGATTTCTGATCTCCGCCAGACACAATAATATCGAGCTCCTTGTGGGTGGAACAAGGGTGTTTGTCTCACCTATATCGAACTTCACAATGACTCCATTCTCCATTGAGCTATACTTGGTACCGAATTGGGAACTCTCTGGACGGGCAAAAGTCGCGTCATCTTCATATCAGTTGTTGGAATAGGTGGCCTTGGACGATCCGGATGATGGGGATGCTTCAAAAGCACCGCAGTTGTCTTTTACGATATTTGCAGAGGGGAACCTATTGTCTCCTGGCAATCTGGTTTGGGGGTCCTCGCAGATCATGATCGCACCACCTACATTTCACCACAAAGGGGATACTGTCTTGATAATTCCGACTGGAGATCACCATATTGGCCATAAGATGCTGGCATGGCGCATTGAGGCTGCCATACCCGTAATCTTCATGTCTTTCCTTTGGCACGTATATCCTCGAGGTGGGCTGATACAGACAAAGTACAAGCAGATCGTCTCTTAGCCAGTACTGGGGCTGTCCACCCATGACTTCAAGGAACCGGACTTCTGGATAAGACCTCATAACCCCACCAAATCCATCTTTGGAGGGTAAGGCAGTCAAGTGGCTGCGAAGCATAAGCGAGTGAAGATGGGGATCTGTCTATAATGTCATTTGATTGTATCACGGATCGAGTGATCTCAGGGTACATCCAATGCTCAATGTCACTCTCGATGGCGTTGTTATTCTCGTGTCTTTAAGCAATAGTTGGCAAAGCGCTGAGATTGCACCTCGAGCTGAATCAAGAAATTTTTTGGCTCAATACTCGGGATTGATCCCTTGAAGGAGCCAATGCCGCGTTAGTATCACTACAAGACATAAGTAGAATACTCTGGATAGATTTGGGGGTATCAATCGGGGTATCAAACCTGGAGCAAGCCGACTCCTGGGTTCAGAAGACGAATATTAGACGCATTCTATCTCAGCTCATCACATTATAACCTCCCCTAGAGCTAGCTGCATACCGCATTTTTGCATCAGTAGCAGATTGAGTCCGATTTCTGACTCTGGATCAACAAGTGCATCATGGGAAGATTTGACCATCAATTCCGCATAGATAGCCTATGTCTTTCCCAGAAGCGGACATGATTCCTGACATCTTGGCGAGATGCTGTTGTTTCATGCTGGAGAGCGTATGGCTAGTCGTCATCGGACTTTAGATATTATCGGTTCAGATGCCTTCAACACTGCGTATTCGGCGCGCTTTAACTCTATTGTACCAGCGCAACTGAAAACCAAACTTTGAAGTGAAGTCAAAGTGGTCCCCTTCTCCACTTGTACTCCCGCTGGCAGTCCAGGCGTGCGATGACAGCTTTCCTGGGCCTGGGATGGGAGAAGAACGCATTGCCGTCGACTAGCTTCTGTTACTCGAAATGGCTAGCTAGGACGTAGAACTTAACGTTGACAATGATGCGAACGCTTTCGCGTCAAATCTCATGACGATCCACTATGGTTAAGACCAGGAAGTTCGTGGCATTTCCAAGTAGTGATTTCGCATCTGGGGCTTCATCTCCGCAAGAGCATTTGAAAATGACATCTGAAATGCCGAGCACGAATATCATGTGTCTCCAGGCTTGTCCACCAGCGCCACCAATGCATCGCAAGCTCGGGGCTCGTCCAGGGTGGAATATCTCATCCCACCAGCTATGCATATGAGTGCGCAGCACGGAACGAGCAGTGGGTAGCCAACAAGATGCAAGTCTTCACGACATCTTGCAATGCCTCCCCAACTCCAGGACACTCTTCCAAACCTATGGTCGATTCGGGGCTCCTTGGAATGACCCCACAGTCAATCCATCTTCGATGCGGCGGAGTCTGGATCGCGAATGTGCAATGCAGAGAATATGTCAACGTAACCTTGGGGGTTGCGTTCATTCCGTTGATGAGCAACAGAATGTGGTTATTTGAAGGGTCGGTGCGGCAAATATTTGCATGAGATGTTGGAAGTAGCTAGAATGTCGGCAAAAGCCTCAGAAGAGAAGGAAATATACTGTAGGGATGATTCGTTGCTCCATAATTCCCCACCAAAATAAGAAAGAACGATTCCGATGCAGAATACCCGAAGCAATCCGCGACAGGCAGGATGGATATTCGCATTCGGAATTCCATATGAACGGCCTTCTTGCTCAGTCCAACCTGCAGTATAGCTCTGTGTATTTGGTATCATGCGCAACTCCCGTCAAGTCTGCCACATATGATCCGAACCCAAGGGTTTCTTGTCGCCCGGCTAGCTGCAGTGTTATGAGGCGGCAGTCTTCCGGAGCAGAAGCATTGTGATAATGACAGTCTTCTACTTGCCCGCCGACTCGGAAGTTGACTTTAGAAATGCGATTTTTGGTGCGGGCAGGGTCGTGCGTGGATGTGGTTGCAGCGGGTAAGTCGCAGATGTGAAGGTTGTTCGGAAGAGTCCTGAGCAGGACGAAGCGCCTCCGACTTGGACTAGGAGTTAGATCCTTGGGTATATGACTCGAGTCTTATCAGTAGCGACATCTTGTGCTTTCAATGGGCGCGTAGTCTCGTGGGGTTATTTATACTCGCATTGAGGTATTTTCGAAGAGTTGGTATCGGCTTTTGTCATGGAATTGGCAAAAGAGGGTATAAGAAAACTTGTACTTACTCGAAGACCACGACGACCCGAAACCAGATGCATCGTGAGGATTCACACTTCACGTGAGGTAGTTGTCCTCAAACGTGAAGATCGTGGAGCTGCAGGACGGATTGTGAAGTGTGCTGTGGTGGTGGAGTGGGTGAAAGAATGGGGCTCAACCCGCGCGCTAGGATGTTTCCGTCCACCTTCATCTCCAACGCCACGAGACCTACTTCTGTTTCCTCCCATCAATGTTTAAAGTGGTAAGTTCTCCATGCTAAACAATTGATGCGATATCCTCGCCTTGGATTGTTGCCTAGACTAATAAGTCCATCGAAGTCTCCTCATCTTGGAGCTGATTCATGACGCCGTTGATGCGAAATATTGAACGATCATGACAAGGTATTGGCAATTGAGCAACTTAAGAGCGAATCAAGTGGACACCGCGTCAACTCATTGGCAAATGGCACATGTGAACGGAATTGTTTTGGACTTGAAGACGTAGTTCTGGTTTGCATTTACCTTGTTAAGGTCTTACTCGCACAACTGTCTTTAATCTTCATCAAATGGCGGCGGAACTAAAATCAGACCGCCCAAGTATACATTTAGACTTCTCTCTACGTAAGGACCCCTTTCTTACAGTAAGATCGCAGCCTCATTCTCTTCACCCTTTTCATTATCTACAATATTACGCCCCGCCCTCCCCCTCATTGAGCACAGTCACTAATATAAGCCAGCCTCACAACTCTGCGGCCCATTCTCCTAAAAAAAACATGCTTTCATGCGTCGAGTTCACGTCGGTAAATCCGCTGGGCAATACTGATGAAAATTTCAGAAAGCGTAATCAACAACGCTATCGAAGATTATGACGAAGCAGGGGATACAGCTTTCGACGGTGAGATAGACTCGAGGAAGGAAAACTCGACCTTGTACACTGAAAGGGCATTTGCGTAAGTGCCCAAATATACCTGAGTTCAAGCTTGCTTGGACTGAAGTAGAATATCACGATCTATTCTGAAATAGGAAACGCTCTCTTTCCTGGACGTTTGTTTTGTCTCTTACTCGCTGGTTTTCCATACGCAGTCGTACTTGGGCGCCTCGTTTGTGCAACGACGCCAAACTGAGCATGCTCTTGACTCGGGGTGAAACCTTGAATGCGAGTCTCGGGTCAGCTTATTCTTGATTTCAAATTTGACACATTTTATGTTGCTTTCCTCCCGTCAAAGACTATAAAAGTAGACGAACACATTGATGCTTTGGCATAATTCAAGTCCCCTATCCTTCTGTCCAAGTTATTCAAGAAGAGTTGTACGTCTCTGATAATATCCATGGATTCCGAGGCATCACCAATCATATCGCTTGCCGCATATCAGCACAGCCTCCACATCCAACACTTCGCAGCCGAAGTCTGCATAGAGTCACACAGTACACCACTTCAGATTAACGCATTTTGGGCGTCAATAATGCAACTTCCATTTGTGGAGGGTATCAATACATTGAAGTTATTACACATACTTAGCCAGGCATAGGATTCTCGACAAACAACATGCAAATCCCGTCCTGCCCAACAGCAATCCTTCATAACAAGTCACAAACATTCGAGGCAGCTTACTCAGTACCTAGGTGAGCTAGCAATCGGGGCAAAAACTTGTATTGGTCCTTGGCTTTCAAATAAATTGTAATTGGCCACAAGTGTTGCCGGCAACCGACGTTGGTGGGGATCGTGCTGTTTATTCTCCGCATCTAGGGTTATTAGGATTCCACTTCATGTCATAAAAAGGGGCTGAGTGTCAGCCACTTTATTTCTCCAAGGAGAGCATTCGCCTAAAATAGACAAGCGCCTATAGAAAGTTCAATTTTCTGGGGGATCTGAGACATGGGGGTCTGAAAGTTATAATAGTTCATTGGTCTCTGAATTTCTTCCGGGCGATAGTACCCCGGTAACTAGGTGCGAGGTTTCTTGGGGGCTCTTCCTGGTTCGTGCTTTGCTCAGTCCACGCTATTTCGAGGTGGATGATGGTGAAGCGGCATGTCATGTGCTGGGTAAGCTTTTGACGTTATGTTGTACACTCTACAGTTAAGTCACTGAGATATATACTGTACGAACCTTTTACCCGGTTACTACAAATCACCTCAAATTCCCTCAACTTTGTCAAGACTCGCAATCAATTACACGCATTCGAATCTTACTAAAATCAATATGCAGTTCTCCAAGCTTCACCTAGTATTGTCGCTACTTCCTTCTACACTTGCTCAATACGGCGGAGGGAGTGGTTCTTCAAGTACATCTGTAGCCTCCGCCTCCGCCCCGACGACCTCTTCATTCACGCCATCAAACGTGAAAATCATCGACGTCGGCGAAAACGGTCTTACATTCTCACCCAACACCACCACAGCAGATATAGGAGACACCATCGAATTCCACTTCTACCCAGCCCAACACTCCGTCGCCCAATCATCCTTCGACTCCCCCTGCGTGCCCCTGAACAACGGAACCGGCTTCTGGAGCGGCGGCTTCTCAACAGACAGCGGAGAAAACAACAACGTCTTTTCTGTCCTCATCAATGACACAAACCCTATCTGGTTCTACTGCGCAGCTCCTACGCATTGCCAGAATGGCATGGCAGGCGTCATCAACCCCCCGTAAGTTTTATTCTGTCTATCGTCGCACGGGCTTTGCTCCGTAGCATACAGTACCGGAACTCCAAGTAACAGATCGACTAGAACCGATGCCTCAACCTCCCTAACGAACTACATCGCAGCAGCTAAGGACGTTCCAACCTCCAAAGGCGGCACCGCAGTATCAGGCGGGACGGTCGGCCCCGCCAAACCAGCAACGACGGGATCGGGAACACCTACGACTTCAGGCAGCGCTAAGCCTAGTGCCTCGAAGAGCGCGGGCGTTGAAGCAAGAGGTGAGGCTCAATGGCTTGTAGCTGCTTTCGGTAGTGTGGTGGCTGTTGGGATGGGGGCTTTGATGATCTGATCGGATAAGCTCATGTCGATCAGGGGTATGGCGGGGGCGGGGTACTATGATAATGCGGGGTACTTATCACTGCACGGACTCCAGATGAAGTCGAGGTCGAGGCGCAAGAGTCCTTGGCATCTTTTGCAAGGTTGTTAGCTATTCTGCTATGCTAGCTTCTAGCTAATTGAAATTCTATAAAGATTTCTAGCTCTCCGATTTCACGTATTAGCCCGTACCTAGCCCGTGAGAAAATACCCATCATGGATCATTCATGATTGACGTTGATTTATAGCATGTGCGGCGCAGCTAGGCATCCATGAGGATCAATGTAAAATGTCCAACATACCACATATACCACAACAAAATCTCTCATACATAAACACGAAGTCTCGCAATCCAAGCCCGTCTCTCTTTCTTTTGGCTCAAAAACATCAAAACCCCTCAAGTAACACCACCACACGATAACCCCCGCGATTCCCCTAACCATGTCCGAAGAAACCACCCCCTTCCTCCCAGGCCACGCATCCGCATCCGCCACCACAGCTCCCTCACTCGTCGAGAACACCGCTCCCGAAACAGAAACACCCCAATTCATCGCCTCGAGAGAATACTTCACCCGCTCCCTCAAACTCCTCACCCTCTGCTCCCTCCTCAGCGCAATCCTATCCGCATGCATGCTGCTCGCTGCATATATAAGCATGGAACTCGCTCCCTTTCACTACTATTCTTATACATCGAGAGTTTACATGGCTTCGTTGGGCGGAATCGTAAGTCATGTCCTGGACACCTATCTATCTTGTCTCTTCCGGCCCATCTCTCAAATCTATCACACTGTATTGCATTGCATGCACAGTGGCTGAAAATCCATCATTATCCACAGATGTTCTGCGCCTTCGTCGTCTCGCTCATCAATACGCGCTTCCGCGGCTTTCCCGTAGGACTAAACATCATCGCCGACTTCTTCACCGCGGTCTTCGCCTTCAACGTAGTGGCTAATGTATTTGATTACGCATGGCCGCTTAGAGCGTGGTGCCCCAGTAGTAATGGGGGGTGCAGAGGGTGGGTTGCTGCGGTTCGGGTTCTGATAGGTGTTGGTACTGGGTTTGGTATCGTTGTTGGGTGAGTCAAGTCAAGTCAAGTCCAGTCAACATCTCTCTCTTCCTCCTGCTTCCTTCCCTCCTTCCTGTGGAATAAGATAGCAAGTTGAGATAGATGGATGGATGGAATGGATGGATGGATCTGATGCTAACGCGGTGGCTATATAGACTGGACCATGTGCTTATGTTCTTTCTGCGCGGTATTGCGATTTTCAAGTCGGGTTTCAGTTCACCGCAGAGAGAGCTGGTGATTAGGGGGTTTACACCGGGAGAAGTGACTTTTCAGTTTACGATTAAGGTTCTCAAGCAACAGGATGCGGTGCCAGCTCGAGTTGCTGGTGATGATGCGCCATCGGGGTCTGGAGCAGTTTGATCGTCATCTACTTCATGTTGGATATTACTTGCGTGTTCCATCTGTGATCATTACAATTATACCACCTTCATTTGATCATGAGATTTGAGTCTTATACAGTCGCCGTTTCCAGCGGGAAGTTTAGATTCCACGAATAAGCCGTAGAAAGCTGGGCGTTGGTATGAGTCTGACAAAGAGGCGGGCCTTGGCGTTTAACAAGGAGCTAGGAGTGTGCTTCCCTGCAGGTTCAGGGAGGGGAATAATGAGCGAGAGATTGTGGAGATAATAGGACTCATTATTCGAATCAACCTATATACACAGGTAGCTGGCTGCCATAGTATTCCGAGGGTACTCGTTCGCCCGGGACAAAAAAGTGACAGGCGCCCCAGCAACAAGCTCGGAATAACATAACTACCCATGTATCGAAAAGATTTTTTTCGTTATATCCATACTTGCCCTTCAATAAGTCCTTCAGGATGTTGGGCCACAATGCAAAATAGTCTTTAACGTCTGAAGGCCTTTTCAGGAAGCTCCTATCCTCTAGCATTATCGTATGGCGGATGTGGGCCCCAAGTACGTTTCGATATATAGGTCCGTTCTCAGCTATGATCCATTGCTGCAGGTTGTCAAATTGTTCGTGAACGGCATCTAGGTAGTTTGGCATAAGGCGGTCGGGTATTTCTAGAACCTCAGCCGACTCGAACCTTTCGGTTTCCCATTCTTTCCAGGTCTCGGATAGATGTTTGCAAGCAGAGAGAACCGCTGTAGTCTGAGGACCAAATTTGTAATTGCCCTCTGAGACACACCGTTCGAGACAAAGACGAAAGGCTTGTCGGCCTTTGGGGCTCGTCAAGAAGCCGTGCATATTTACGCTAGGAGCAGGAACTTGGACATGGGATCGCCCTCGAAGTCGTACCATTTCCATAGTCATGGCAACCAAGTCACCAGTCGGAAGGTGAGGACCTAGATTAAACTGCGGACGAGTTCGTAGATGGATCGCAGATTGTCCAGTCTCATCTAGGAGACTGAGAGAAGTCACAATCTCATCCTTCGTTCCAATAGTGAATCGAGGTATATGAATCCCCGCATCACCACTGATGATTCCGAATCCGAGGAGGTCCGCTCCGGTGGAGGGAATGTATCTCTGCTCCTTTAGTTTGATGAAACCACGAAGAAGACCAGAACGAAAGGTTGCACGCCAATCTTCGTTCCCGGTATAGCTATATTGTAGCAAAATTCCAAGCGACCTCACATTTGTGGATGTCATTACCTGAAAACGACCCTCGGCCTTGAGACTTCCATCATAGGGCCGGAAATCCTTCCATCGCATACCCATACGTCTCGCCATGATGGCAATATCAGAAACAGTGCAGACCGCGAGGGGACGCACCACATCCGGGAGCTGGAAATCCCATGATCGTTCCTGAAAACAAAGAGCAGGGAGACTGATCCCCGGAGTATCTGATAAGCCATTCCGTGCACCCAGCGTATGCAGTTGATGTAAGAACATCACCCAGCATACTGTCTCGTTGATATTCCGAACACCCTGCGAAGAAGCGTGCGGATGTAGAGACATGGTAACTGCTCTAGAATTGGTATCACCTTCAATCAAGACCTGACCTGGTCTGTCCGGCCCAGTGCTAGTCATGAATATTTTCGGCGTGGTGTACAGAGTCTCGAACCGAAACTCCCGCCATCGCCATCTCAGACGTGTGCGTGTTGCCCATTCTCCCATTACAGATCTCTGGCACCGGCGATAGCCATCGGCTGTCGCAAAGTATTGTTGAAGCAGCTGGCCCAAGGCTGTCACGAATGCGACCAGCGCAATGGCGAGTGCTGTTGCTGCGATGCTAACATCTGCGGTGCCCATGTCGATCAAAGGGCGACCGCCAAATTCAAATATATCAGAGAAACATCATCTGTCGTGGTTTTCGTTGTTGAATATCATCCTTTGCGGTTTTGTTCTGCTTCAGCCACTTCTAATTTCAGTGAAGGAGAAGTACCACGTGACGTTCACCTTTAATCTCGTCCAATATTGCTTCAGCTGTTTCACCGCAAGGATACGGAAGATCATAACCTCCTTCGTGTGATCATTTCATCTGCCAGGAAGTCACTTACCTTTGGTATCTTTTCAAGAGAAATCATTAAATACCTCCGTACAATGCAGCCACACCTTCAACCTCCACATCGCGATTCTACCCCAATCCCGCCGCACAGAAGATGCCTCCTATTGCTTGTACTTCTATACCTCTGTATGCGTTTGTGTTCAAAGCTCGTAGGCGCAAATTGCTCTCAGCAGTCGGTCGTGAGCAGATCCTGCCGTTCTTCCCGAGGGAGTGCAGTGCCCGTTGCCCAACCTAAGGGTTTACGAGTAAGGTCTAAGCTTATTCGAGAATTTGCGTATAATATACTCGGTAAATACAAGGGTAAATACAAATCAAGGGTATTATGGTCGGGATCTATCTGATGCCGAACACTACGGAGGTAAATCTACCACCGTAAACACCAAACTTGACTAATGTGGGAAGTGATGTGCAGGTACCGCCCCGACATCCGTAGAGGTTTTCCTTAGTTTCGAGACTACGAGTCTGTGTGTTATCCTCAACGCCATCAGCGCATCATACCCCTTTCTATAATCTCACTGGTTATCATTTTGACATCATGGCATGGCCAATTGGCAATCATGAATGACAGCTTCTCGAGTTGGGTGGAGGGAGTACTCGAGTAATGTACGTATATTTGTTAGGTCCAAGCCAAGGTCCACGGTTTCTTTATTACCCTCTCTGTGTACTCCATCTATTTCCTTATAGAGTAAACTTTTCTATAGAGTAAACTTTGTTTTTCGTCTCAATTCCAATTCCAATCTCAAAACTTCGCTCATCAACATGCGTTGCTCTATTCTTGCCTTCGCTGGCGGCCTTGCTGCCCAGTCTCTTCAGCTTGCAGCTGGTCAATCTGCTCAATTTCTATCATCGAATCCTGGCGGAGCTATTCCAGCCATGGTCCAGGCACCAAGCACCTCTGGATTCATGCAGTCAACAATCCAACCATCCAGAGGAGGTCTGTCTGTCTGCGTCTCTGGAATAGTGCCCGTGCAAGTCAGCACCGCAATGAACATGGCCTTCAACTTTTCCGTGCCCGATAATCAAACTGGGGTGACCCAGACATTCCTCTCAATGATTTCAAGCGCTTCTCCTTTTGTGCAACAGCTCATGGCCGGAACGCAGTCTGTGAATGGGACCTACAATATCGGCGGGACTTTGTGTACCCCAGCGAACAATACCACGCCGAAAACGGTCGAGATCCTTACCCATGGCATTGGCTTCGACAGGTATACATATCCGTGTCTAATTTCTGATGTACGGTACTGATAAGGTATTTAGATATTACTGGGACTTTGCTCCAGGCTATTCTTATGTTGACGTTGCTACCCAGGCTGGCCACGCAACGTTTGTCACACCTCCCCAAATTCTCATTTGCAGTTGACCTGACCATCCGCAGTTTCTTTTATGACCGTCTTGGTGTAGGGCAATCATCCAAGCCCGATGCATTGACCATACAGAGTCCTCTTGAATTGGAAATCCTCCAGTCTCTCATCACGAAGCTTAAGAATGGTACCTTGAGCAACATTACGCCTACCACCATTGTTGGTACGGGACACTCTTACGGCAGCTCTCTCGTTCAAGGAATTACCTCAAAATACCCCAGCTCACTCAACACGGCCATCCTCACTGGATTTTCAGTAAACTCGACAGGATCTTCAGCTTTCGTCGCTGCCTTGAATCTCGCCATTGCGTCGCAGAATCAGCCCTTGCGATTTAGCGGCCTCAGCAACGGCTACCTTGTCTCTAGTACCTCGATCTCCAACCAGCTCGCATTCCTGCATGCCCAGAACTTTGATCCCAACGTGCTCAGTCTAGCCGAGGCAACCAAAGGTTCCGTCACGTTCGGCGAGCTCTTCACCCTGTCGGCAGTGGTAGCCCCCGCTGCCAACTTCACTGGTTCGGTCGCTGTCGTGAACGGAGACAGTGACCTTCCCTTCTGCACTGGAAACTGCTCCTACCCAACCAATCTCGCCCAGGCAGCCATTACAATGCTATATCCAAAGACGAATGTTACGGGCACTTACGTGGCCCCTCTTACCGGCCATGGTATCAATTTTCACTACTCCGCCGTGGCGGCTTACCACTACATCCAAGACTTCATCGCGAAGGGCACCTCGTCAAACAGCACCTCCACATAAAGCTAGCTTTAGGGACCACCAGGAGGGAAACACAGACTCTAGAAGAGTAATAATGTAAACCTAAAATGTATAATCGCCAAATAGTATCCCAATCAGTTTTACAACTAGTCAAGAATAACGAACCACAATAACGCAACAGACCTGCTCAGATATACGCGCTAGTTTCGCGCTCACAGTATCTCCAGAACTTTGCCGTCTTCTGCACATTTGCAATATCCTTTGGCAACGGCTCAATGCGTCCCCATGCTATAACGTAACCGCCACGTATATTTTCTCTTGTAAGCTCAGGAGAGAACGCAGCGTATAGCTCTGTATATGCTCCATATACTGCAGGCTTGAAGAGAAGACTCTTCATTCAGGGCGATATCAGCGCTGTGTTTTTCTTTTTTCCCTTCGTTTGAGCACGGTTTGATAGTATATCGTACGTACCATCATCATGCGCCCAAGTAAAGGCATCGTCTTCTGTAATTCGGTACGCATCAATCCCGGATGCACTGACTTAATTCCTGCGTCAGTATGGGTCCACAGACTCGACAAAAGCTAACTCTACAGAGTCAAGGCAGACTCACAACGCTCATGATACCGTCCTGCGCAAGCCTTGTCGCAAACTCCGAAGCCAGCCACGCGCTGCCTACTTTGCTCTGCATGTAATTCGGAAAGACCTTGGGGATTGCCTTTGGACCGCCTGCGTCATTGAATACCATTCCACCCGGCGGCTGACCTAGGGATAGATAGGATGCGATCCAGAGGATTCTTACGCTATTCGACGGCGCTGGGATTGGTGTTATCGCTGCGGCTGCTGTGCGTTTCAGAACGTCGAGGAGAAGATGAGTTAGGACGAATGGTCCTAAACAGTGGGTTCCGATCTCTAGATCGTGACCCTGAATTTCAGCAACCAACATTAGCTTGCATATTCATCATACCCAAGATTTCAACCACCGGTCCGCCACACTCCCAGCTTACCAATCTCGTCCTACTCCCAACAGGCGGTTCCATCACCCCAGCATTATGCACCAAGACATCCAGCCTATTCTCCTGCGCTAGAAACTGCTCCACGGCCGCTTTGATCGTGCCTAGATCCGCTACGTCTATCACCAACGGCACCAGACGCCCCTTGGTGCCTGGAATATAACAGACGGCTAGCTCAAATCCTGCCCCGGATGCGGAACCGGTGATTATGAAGACCTGTTGTTGTTAGGATGAATGGTGGGTATGTATGTTGGGGATGCGGGGGTGGGGAATAGCATGGGGTTGGAGAGCTTGAGGGAGGGAGGTACTTTTCCTGTTTGGTCACCTAGGTCCTGCTCTGTGAAAGAGGGGGCGGGTGGGAAGATGGCTGAGAAGAGTGATACCATGTTTGCGGGTTTTAAGTGAGTGATGAGAGGGCTATGAATAAACCAAAGCGAACAGCAGGTCTGAGGGGGCGTTGTTGTATATATATTCATTCATATGCATTTTGATGACGGACTAGTTGTACCTACCGCAACGACCTGTATGGAGTTAGATACGCAATGCGTTCATCTCCTCCATGGACTTAAGAGTCCCTAAATCCATGATAGCCTTCAAAAATCCACTGCAAATCCAATGAGTGCCGTTGGATGTTCAGTGTCGCGGAGCGGAGATATGTGTGTGTTTAGTTATAGCGGAGATATGAGGTTTTCGAGAGTCCGTTCCACACACACCGATGTAGAAAGCCCTCCCTCTGCACAAGTAACAAATCTCGTGCAGGAAGGTCAAGACTAAATATTACTAACCTCGCATGCTGGACTGAATGTCTATTTCATCGCACCTGCATAGGTCGTCAAATTCTGAGTCCCTAAGACAAGGATCCTTGACCAAGTCACGCGATCACGCGTTCCGTGCCGCAAGGTCAACTGCGTTGTTGCCTGTGCCTAATTAGGCCCGCTTGGCGCCAGTCTAAAACTTACGAGAGAAACTTACAAGAGGCACAGGCAGAAAGCTGGTTGGCAGTGAAATCGCCATTTATTTCTCACTCAAGGACGATGACTCTTGCAAGGCAAGAGTGTGGTAAAGCTTATAGTAGGACTCTTCTGTCATGCCGCAGGTCCGTGTTTTAGCGAGTACGAATTCCAACCGCCCCCTTTCGAGCTCAAGCGACGTCTCCAGACATCAAGAGAAGTGCCAACGTATTCCGAATCAGCTTTCTCAACATCACATCGGTGTGTCCGTCGGCTTTCTAGTTATAGATCGAATCAGAGCGAAATGCCGCCTAACGCTCCTAACATACCGAATGCCCGAGATCGCTACTCTAATGCTCATCTCTTCCCTAAATTTCGGGGCGTCGGGCCTCAAGACGCGGAAGAGTCAGTTGGTAAGTTGATTCCGACTGTGTTTATAACCTAAATGTCAATACCTGGTATTGACATCCCCACAGCCGGACGGCCTCTATTTGAGATCCAGACCTTGCATCATTTCCTGAATGCAGCCACAACGGGCAACTTCCCAGGGAAAAAGACAGAACTTCCACTTTGGCCAGCGGAAGAAATGCAATATTTCAGCAAGAAATACTCTGAATGGGCTCCCAAACCGTATTCTGAATTACCCGGGCCAGCAGCGGGACCGTTTGGTGCCATGGGTGGAGAATCTCCGCCTCCGATCTTCAGGGTCACGCTTGCGATGACTAGTATGGGGGATATGTTTAGCAAGCTATTCCAATTCGCTGGACAGAATTTATCTCCCGAGGAAGTTGCAAGACGTCTATCTTCAGCTGATAAGGGGCCGAGTTTCAACATCACGAAATCTAAAGTAAGTCTTCAGCCCGTGGCCAACCACCAAGCTAATTTCTTAGATCTGGTTCGGGGTCGCTCCAGTATCTGATGCACTCTGGAAATTCAGGGGATTAGACGACGAAGCCAATATTGAAGAGGCGTTGGCTATTCTTCGGTCCGTGGTTGATGTATTTGATTATTGGCGCCAGCCAGAGGTCCAAGGCAAGCTGCGAGATGTCTTTAACAAAGTTCTTCTCGAGCTGGATATCTTCAACGACGCAATACATGCTCTAAGAGCAGAGCGCGGAGAAGCTGTTCCAGACTGGAGCATCAGCAGACTCTGGGAAGAATATGTCCTGTTTGACTCCCAATTCCCCATGTAGACTTTCGTTTGCTAAATCTCCCACAGTCTCCATTTCCGTTTCATGGAGCAGCAAGCCCGTTCATGGATGTTTCAGCATCTCAAAATACTGCATATGATGTGGCTCACCCGCCTCCATGGAGCAATCGGTACGCTGCGCGAAGTAAACGAAACTCAGGCCTCTATAAAAATCGACCATTGGGCAATGATGGCCATGGAAAAGATCCTTGATATCTATCGTGACGTCGAGCTCATGCTAAGATTTCGCGCTGATGGCTTTGCCATGGCATCCGGCATCGACCCACGGTTAGCCAGCATCGATAGCCCCAGCGAAGAGCGGAACAGGATTTATTCTCAGATCGAGCACCAACGGATGACTTACCTCAATACTAGAGTGAATGACGTTTTAAATCAACACATCGCTGCCCGTCACGCGCAGGGTGCATACCCAGAATTTCTGGAACAATTCGTCGTCATCAGTGACCGTACTGTTGTCTACAAGACACTACAGCCTCATATTGAAAGCCCACCAGCTTCCAGCACAGAACCCTGGGTCCGAGATCTGAGCGAGGATACCATCGAAATGTTCGGATTCGTCATCTACCGCCTTTCCTACGCGGAAACCGACGAGAAATGGGACGCTATCCGTACGAAAATCGAAAACGGACTCGACACAGTCTGGGACGGGATCGTGGGCTCTGATAAAATCAAGCACAAAGCAGTTCTTCAATGGGTTGACGGCCGCGATGCGGATAATATCCCCGAAGGCAATCTCGACGCAGCACGACAGCACTTCCAGGCTTCCGCCAAGTCCCCTACCTTTGCCAAAGGCCTTTCCACCACTGTTTGTTTAGCTGTGACGCCCGTGAGCGTATCTTCTTACGTCCAAGATGAAGACCAATCTGATAAAGGAACTGGGGATTTCCAAGGGTTCCTGCACGCCATTGAAGCCGGTTTTGACTCAGCCAGAGTCCCTTCTTCATCTGCTCCATCTTCCACATCACGACCAGCGGCCCCCAAAGGCGGGCTGTATAAGCCTGGCTACGATGGTACGTTCAAGATTTCAGATCGGCTGGTCTGGTCGGAGCTATATGCACTGAATGTGCAGATGGGTCAGGTGCTTGGGTTTGAGGATATGTGGGCGGTTTCAGCGCGGCATCCGTGGGCTTTGTATATGGGCCCTAGTACGGGGGTGTTGAGGAGGAATTGGAGAGAGATGAAGGGGATGGGTGGACATATGGTGAAGTTGGCGAAAGAGACGTCGGAGAAGGAGAGACGAGGAAGCTAGAAATGTGTATTGCGTATTATAGCAATAGCGAGACGGTGATGCTAGCCATAGTTTTTTTTTTTTTTAAAAACATCTATAGTTTCTCCCTGATAATTGAGTCCCGCATACAGCCAGGTACTATACTGTACTCCACTTTCTTTATCTAAATATACCATCTATCTTCTTGGCCTGATATTCTCCCCATAAGACTGGTTCATACTTCTTCTGGCCCCTCTCTCCAAAGTCACCTTCGAGAGGTTCCATTACCGTATCCTTCTTCGGAATAACAAAATACGGAATCGAGAAGCGGGGTACAGTTTTCCGCTTCCCGTCTTGACTTTCATAGCTATCATCTAGAGGGGGTAGATGAACTCGATGTAGCGTAGATATAAGAAAATCTACCCATTGCGTCAGTCATGATCCACATCATCCCAAATTCCATTCATCGAAAGACAACAATCATACCATTACTCCACCTCGGAAGCACATCCCCAATATTCATCACCAGCGCCCCCTCCACCGGCCTGACATCCACCCACCTGCCCCCGCTATCCCTGACCTCCAACCCCCCCAGGTCATCCTGCCACAACAGCGTAAACGAATCAACATCCGTATGCGCACCCAGTCGATCCAGCTCGCCGCTCCTAACCGCATCCTCGTGCACAGCCGGGTAATGTCGCAGACTCAGCTCATTCTCCCCCTGGGCGTGGTATTTCAGCAGAGAGTCTTCGTCCGGAAGTCCTAGTCCTAGAGCTAGGGCGCGCAGGATGTCTTGCGCTACGTCCCAGCATGAGCTCTGGAATGAGAGCATGAAGGCGCGGAAGCCGGGGAGCAGGGTGGGGGGGATCCACACGTTGGGCTGCGAGGGGTTGTCGTCTGTCCCGAGGCCGTATGCTTCCTGATATCGTCGCATCAGCTTACATATCCATATCCACACATCCACACACACATACATAGACAAACCCAGAATAAAGGAATAAAACAAACAAACAACTCAATCCACGAGTAAGAACAGCACACACGCACAGTCCAATCCACAACATCCCTCCCCTTCTCCCCCTCCACCTCAGGCACCTGCTCCCCGCCCACACCACTCCAGCCCCTAAACACTTTACTCCCCTTCCCCCGCCCCGCCCTTCCTTTCTCCTCCTCTGACAGCGCGAAAAAACGCCGTGACCACGCAAACGCTTCTTCGATCTGCGCGCTGGGGATCCCGTGCCCGGTTATGTATACGAAGCCCGTTGAGTGACAGGCGTGCACGAGGGAGCGGGATATGGCGAGGCGTGCGGTGGGGGATGCGAAGTGGGATAGGTCGATTAGAGGGATTGGATGGGGAGGTGGAGTGGATGGGGATGGTGATAGGGGATGGGAAGACATGGCGGAAAGGGGGGTGGTGGAGATGGAAATGGGGGACGTGGAAAGGGAGATGGGTTGGTGGTGGGGTGAGGTGAGGTGAGGGGTTATTGTGAGGTTGTACTATACCCCTCACTGAAAGTCACTTGCATTTGACTATCATGCGTCGGGTAAGCCTGTGTCTCGAGTTCCAAATCCAATGTAAGATTACTAGCAATTCCAAATCGCGAAACAAATGCTGAATAGAAGTGTAATATAAGGTTTGCTCTTGGGATTTGTTAGACGTAAATTGTATGTTACTGTAGAGCTGTAGAAGCGTTCACTAGCAAACAAGCCATTCTATGTATAGAATATTGTAATTAATTAGCATTCGATTATTTCGATTCTGTAAGTTACTTATATCTTCACTCATAGCGGTTTTATATATAGCTTCAGTTTAGAGTTATGGAAATTAATAGTTCTTTATATTAGAAACAGATTGGCCTGTTGCGATAGTGAGAAGCTTGGTATGAACAGAGGGTTGTTTGCCGAACATTAGCCTTAAGTAAGTGACCATAGCCACTTCAACACTGAATCAAGTATGGAAAGTGCTATGCTATTAATCGTAAAGATATATAAATCTCTTTATCTACAAGTTGTGTCCGATCCTTATACATAGAGGGGAGAAATCACGTGTATTAGCCCCGGAAGCCGATCAGCCGGCGCCGGGAAAAACATCGTTTCCGGACTTCGACAGCCCTCCCTCCTCCGTTCCTCTACTTTTGATATCAAAGTATCGTGACATTTCAATTGATAAATCCGGCATCTCTGCATCACATCTGTAAACTCCGCATTGTTTCACAGTTTTACATACATACCTACCTACCCACCAAAGCTGAGCACAGTAGTCGGTGACTGACATGTCCGCCAATCCTGCTCCGGCAACTCCGGACCTAACACCACCAGCACCAACGTCTCCGAACCCAACCACCAGCCGCAAACGCGCTCGCCCAACAAAGTCATGCTTCGAATGTAGGCGCAAGAAGTTGAAGTGCGATCGGTTACAGCCTTGTTTGCAATGCAAGAAGCTGGGCCGAGAAGCATTGTGCACCTACGCCCATGGACCACCCGGGCCTCCAGATTCTGAAAACGCGGAGAGAAGTCCGAAGAGACCAAAGGTTGATGTCTCAAGACTCAATTCGTGGGGAGGAGAAGCGGCCAGAGATTTGAATGCTCCTATTGGGGGCTATGTGGCGACCGCCCTTCCCATGGATTACAAGACTACAGTGCAAGAGTCTACCGATAGAACGGACGAAAGCCAGTCCAAGACCTCGGGAAGACTCCAAGTCGAGGGATCAAAATCCCGGTATATTGGGCTTGGAGACCGGATGACATTGTTAGATCACGTGGGTCTCATACTTCTGCTCATTGCCTTTTACTAACAATAGCTAGTTTCCAGATGAAAAGGAATTCATTATTGGAAGCTTCACTGATGCTACAATGGCGCCTATTGTGAACGAAATGACCATCTTCCAAAGGGCTCTCCATCGCAAGATACAGCCCCTCGATCGCTTATTTGAAGACCGTACTGCACTGGTAGCAGAAATGCTAAAATCTCTCCCTGAAAACACCACCGTTGAAGCTCTCAAAGAAAGATACTTGACCAATATGGAGACTGTGCTTAGAGTAGTACATGTCCCCACCTTCAGAAGACAGTGTAGTGAGCTCCAAAGTTTTCGAACTGCTCATAATTCGACCCTTCCGTCCACGGTCCCAGAATCTGTTCTGGCTCAGTTACTGGCTATCATCTCAATTGCCAGCCGCCTGATCGATTCAAAGGATTTGAAAACCTCAGAGCAGGCTATTTCGGAAGAACGGGTCACGACTTACCTCACCCTTATCCCGAAATGGTTGGACAGTTTGAAGAGTAAGGAGCGTTTGACCATCGATTCGCTACGTGTTGAGACACTTCTTCTGATGGCGAGATTCGCTAATATGGCCACTTTACTCAATCTCTGGAAAGAGTCTGGGGGTCTCGTTCGCGCGGCAATGGCTATGGGTCTTCATCGAGATCCTGAGCATTCTTCTGATTTGTCGCCTTTCGCAAAAGAACAGCGGCGAAAACTTTGGCAAACAATCGTGGAGTTGGACCTTCAGTTTTCTCTTGCTACTGGGATGCCCTGCGCTGTTCAGTCGTCAGATATCGGCTCCAGAACACTGCTCCTCGTCAATGATGACGACCTTGTGGAAGATATGCCCAATTATCCCGTGGAAAGGCCCTTGGATGCGTGGTGTGATGCTCTACCTCAAAACCTTTTAGCCTCGGCCATGAAACCCCGCCTAGATGCTACAAACTTGCTGGCGAGGGATATCGACTTCAACGCAGACATTGATCGCATCCTTTTCCTTGCCAAATACCTCGAGCTTGGTATGCGCTCCATCCAGGCGCGCTTACCACAACAACCGAAGATGAAACAGCGATTACTCTCGGACATAATGTTGGACGTACATTTACGAAGGCCTGCAATAGCTTTGTATCAAACAGTGGCGTTGAGCGACCAAGCCTCACGTCATCCGGAAGCTAGAAAAGGTGTTCTAAGGAATTCAGTCGCGATTCTTACTCATCTCGATGCTCTAGATCCAGCCATCGCGGATCTGGACACTATCCAGTCGAAAGATTACTTGAACTTCTTCCATATTTTGTTTCGGGATGATATAATTAAATCTTCGATACTACTATGCTACGAAATTCGCGCCTTCTACTTACCAGTAATCAATTCCCCACCTGTTGATCCGGCTCTTTTGGATAACTCAGAAGAATCTATTCCGTGGACGAAACATAGCCTTACAAGGATCGTCGAAAGCACCCTCAACAGTTACCTGCAACGACTAGGAGAATTTGGGACCGACCTCAAAATCATTTTGCCATTATCTATACTTCTTCAATCTGTTAGGTTTGACGGTACCCCGGAAGGAAAACGAGATTTGATGATTAAAGGATCAGAACGTGTTCTTCAGGCATGCCGAAAGGCCATACCTCTTCCTAGGGCGCAAGATGCCCAACCGCAAAACGGAACCGCTCCGAATACACAAACACCACCACTATCAAATATGCCAACTGGTGAGAGCTGGAACCCTCATCAAGGGTTTGGCATTGTGATGCAGCTTCCATACGAAAATGGAATCCCTCAGCCTATTGGCAATGGGGACTTCAATCCTGTAAGCACCTACATTTCTTCCGTTAAAATGAGCTAATCCGTAATGACAGAATGTGAATGGAGCTGGCGCTTTCCCAAACTTCGAATTGGGATTTTCGGATTGGGATCTTATGGACCAGTCATGGTTTGGAAGTTATTAAGCCATCTCACGGACATAGATGAAACCGATCTCGTTCAACAACAATACTAGCCTTCTCTTGCTGAGATACAAAGCACCTACTTGCACGTATACGCCGCCAATCCCTCAATCAGCAATCACAGGCGTCATCCCATTCCACTCACCGCTTCCAGAACACTTCACAAGGAATCCCGCCACACTCGCCCGACTGGCCTTCGGCATCATCCCAATACCCTTCCCCTGGTCCCCCCATACCGTAACCTCCTTCCTCTCCCCATCCTTCAACATAGCCGGTTTCACAATCGTCCAGTCCAGCCCACTACTCCTTATAACCTTCTCGCCTCCAAGATGGTCTTTATACCCGTACGCCACACCGCTATGGTTCAAGATAAACCTCATCGGCAAGATCAAATTCGGCATCGAGTCTCCAACCCCAAACGCAGACATGGTAACCAACCTCCTAATCCCGTGCGTCTTCATTACAGCTATAAGGGCTATATGCGCGTCTGTCATCATGGACGGTGGCGAGATGGGCGCGCTGAACGGGCTATCGCTCGCGCGGACGGAGGCGAGAGTGACTATTACGGCGGTTGGCTGGACGGGGGAAGACACGATGGCGTTTTCGATTGAAGGACCTGTCAGGTCTCCTTCGATGATCGTCAGTCCGCTGGCTGGACTGAGGGATGCTTGCTTCCGGACCAGTGCGGTTATCGTATGGCCTTTGCTAAGCGCTTCTTCGATGACAACCCGCCCGGTCCGTCCACTGCCGCCGATTATGAGGATTTGCATGTTGAGGGGCTGAGTGAAGATATCTTCAGAGTTTAGTCCTGTCTATCTTCAGGATCGTGAATTCGTGAGCAAGTAAATCAGTTGGGGGAAGACTTTTGCTGCAAAACGTTGTAAAAGTCGGCTGGCGTGAGTGAGTGTTATTTATGGTGGTGATCAATATATAAATAAGATATTTCTCTGCAGGCTCTTATGGATATGATGTATGGAATATTCGTTCTGTCTACTGAGAAAGCAGAAGGCATACCGACGTACTTATACTTTCTCGTAAACTTTTAGCTGTCTTACTCCTTTACTGGGTCAATAAATCCGGACGGGCTTAAGTCCGGTTTCCTGTCGGATCCGAGGGCTCTAGCCATTTAAGCATTGGCTTGTAAGCGACTACTATAGTACCATCCAGGACTTTCTCTTGCACGAGGCAAAGCTTATATTGTTTGTCCTTAAACATCTCAAACAGGTCCGCTTGGGAAATAAGCAGCCGTTCGAATGCCTGCTTTTCTCGGGTGATTTGACTAATGATAGTCTCCAGTGGCTTCTCATCCGATTTCTAGAACTGGCGCTGGTCTTGTATTAGCATAACGCACGTGAGTGTAATCAGGAAGCTTACCCGTTCATCCCCCCATACCGTAGCAAAAACTCGACGGGCCTTCTATTGACGGTCCATTATATAATTCGCATCCAAATTTCATCTCCGCAGCTTCTTCAAGTATATGAGCGCCCGAATGCCAGAAGACTTGTTTGCCTTGAGGATGTCCAAAGCCAAGGATTCCAGTTCGCAGCTCTTCTCCAAAGGCCTATTCAAGTCCGATAATACGCCATTCACTTAGCGACAATAGCGCTCTCAAATAATGACTTTGAAAATGCTCGTACAATGGAACCAGCAGTCGTCACCCATAATGTGCTATCTGCGACTCTATTCTTAGAGAAGCTGACTCGAATCGTTTCGCGTGATTCATTATTGGGCTTTTCGTTTTACGTTGTTTTGACCTTATTCTAGACAGATATGGAATACTGTAAAAAGTCTGGGACAGTCCAATCTAGGTATAAGTCAAGTTAGCATTTGACAGGAAACTAAGATCATGTAGCAATTATTACTTCATCTTCATCTTCGTGCTCTATCGCAACATGGGTGATTCTAATCCTCAGTCTTCAGTGCTCTTCTCACTCACTCGCCGAAGTGACCAACCCAAGACTTTCAACCCACCCAGTGTAGAGAATAATACACCAATATAATACCGTACTGCGTATTGTATGGCTCCAGTCCAGCTCTATCTTGTATTAGGGCCATGAAATATAGGGATCGCTATACTAACTTGATGTAACACGCATGTCGTTATATTAGTCATATATGGGTGTATTGCGGGGCCGTTTTAAGAGGCATTTAGAGCGCAATTTGCCTTGAAAATCATAATTTCTTGCAGTTCATCCCCCCTTTTAGCCTTTCCAAGTGGGTCTAAGCGGGTCTAAGCGGGTTGTAGCTTGGTCTTATGCAGGTGCATAAAAGATTATGCTATATCATAATAACTTATGCTATATTATAACCATATATGCTAGATTATACGATATTCATGCCTATATTATATTAGTTAGTAATACAATATCACCCTTTATATTTTAGTGCTATACAGTCTGCTGGCCCCTATATTATAGTCCGTATCAAGCTTCCGGATATGACCAATATATATTGTTGAATATTATTCTCTACACTGAACCCACCTCGTCTAGCCTTGCCACATATATCTGTGTCTCCAATCCCCAGGCCAAGCAAATGCGCACAGTGCCATTCTTACACTCCCGTCTACGGTATAGATGAGACCTGTACCCGCGGACACGCTGTGCGAGGGCACCAGCCTCGAATGGAGAGGGCCGTCATAAAACCGGAACAAAGGACGGCTTCTAATAACAGTATAGTAACACCTCAGACGTCAACGCAACACTGTACAGAATTCCGATCCTCGATGGTTTGCCCCCATAATCTCAGACCTCCGCTTCATAAAACAAGCGTTTGATCTTATTATACCTACTAGAAAACTAACCTTAACTATCTATTAAGCGCATATAAGTTAAAGAGCTAGAACCATTCTCTGAAAATTCACTCTCTTCAACTTCTTCTTCATAGAGAAGATATCGTGATCTGTCTTTCCTGAATCAGGCTAGTGATTCTACTTTAAGAGTCAGGGTCCATTCCAAACCGAACCTCTTGAATGAACCCGGAATACTAGAAGAGGAGTCTTTTCAAGGCCAGGCCATGCAACGAATCCGAATGCCTTTCTTACTCCCCAGCCCACAGCAAAGACGGGAAGTGTGCTTGCACGGTGCACCTATGCGTGCGCAGTGACCACCAGCCTCAGCTTCGACAGAATAAGGATATACCAAACAGAAACGGCGGGACGGGGCGGTATGGGGAAATTTGGTATAACATTCACGCGCTTGAACTTCTCCTGAAACAAGAACAGGACACGGAACTGCCAATAGGTGTACTATCAGGATAGAAGAAGTCGAAACCCGCTTAAGACTAGTACTAGAGTGGGGAGATACTCATGCTCGAGTTTCGGGTCTTTCGGAGCACTAGAGACTTGATATTATCGCTGCTTTTGTATTTGATACTCTCGTTCGCTCGATGCATGGTGACATAGACCCGGATATAAACTTATGGATAATTTACTGATATATAGCCATCAACCTCTAAGGCTCGATATTCTTCAAGATACTATATAAACCAACGCTGAACTATTTCTCATTTTAAGCTTCAGATTGCTTCGGTGCTGTAACTAAAGTGCTAGACATTTATGCCATCTAATTCCATTCAATGTTATTGTTAGACCAACCACGTGGACCCGACGGCGTCAAGTAATCCACCTTGGACTTGGAGAGCTCAAACGGCGCACCAAGAATAGAAATCTCTCTATCCTCATTCCAGTTCTTACCTGACATCTTGGTGTAGAATTCTGGGGTCTGCAGCAGACCAGGACGGCTCTCGGTCACCGCTGCTACCATCTTTGCAAACATGGATCCCATCTCATCATAGTGGCGGGCCTCGAAACTTGGGTTACGCGCCAGGATGGCCTTGCCTTGATCTGGCGTGTATTGCCCAAGGCGGTAATACCAGATGTTGTACTGGACGATACTGATGTCAATGTCGAAGGTGATATCGTTGTGCGCGCGCTTCTGCAATGCTTGAACAATGGCCGCGGCTCCGATGATTCCAGTTTGGTAGTCCGAGTTGGCTAGTATACAGTGTCAGGACATCAATTCGTTTGTAGGAAAGTCCTAGCTTTACTTACGGAGTAGAGGCACAACAGGCTCATTCAAGCCTAGGAACTCTCCCTGCATCCAGGAAAGACCAGCAAAGCAGTCTGCAATCTGTTGCCACCCAGTACGGTACGACAAGGGGCCTACCCATCCATAGCAATTCTCACGCACGTAGATGAGCGATGGATTGATCTTGCGAAGTGTCGCTGCATCGAAGCCCAACTTTGCGATCGATTGAGGCCTGTAGCCATCGATGAAGACGTCCGCACCTGCAAGAATCTTGTTCAAGACTGCCTTGCCCTCTTCCGTCTTGAGATTGATGTCTACATCCCTCTTGCCAGTATTGATGTCAAGCAGGCATACACTTGTGTCAGGTATACCCTTGTAGGAGACTTTGATAACATCGGCGCCAAGGACTGCGAGCAGCTTCGAGACAGTTGGGCCAGCAACGGCCCGCGTGTGGTCTACAACTCGTATGCCAGCAAGTGGTCTATAATCTGTATCAGCTACAGATGGCCACTGCTTTTTGGGGGCGCTATGTGGCGTCAATGAGAACATTGGCTCTTTTTCCAAGATTTTTGTCTGTACGGCGTCAGTCCTATTAAAGAGCGAGGCGGAGCATGATGCTTACGTGTGGATGAGCCCAGAACTCTTCGACGGTGTTGCAGATACAGCCGGCTTGTTTGAACTCGTCGTTGGCAGTTCTATCAATGTCCTCGGCATTCCACTGAGCTACCTTTTCGGCATATATGGCTTGAGCCTCCTTGTGGGTGACATCCTGTTCGGGCACGCCAACCATTCGCATAGAGTGTGTTGCATTCATGGATCCATGCAAATGAAACCATCGCTTGTCTTTACACTGATAGATGTTGGTGAGTTGCTGATGGATAGGCTTAGTCATCTTAAAATGGTCGGACTCTGCCAGGGCATCACCAATTGCCTTGGATTTTACAAAGGACTCTCCCTCAATTGTAGGTAATAGGATGCCCATCAAAAAGAGGGTTGCCTTGTCACTACAAATTGGAACGAGTTAGTCTCATATATTCGCCATCGTGTCATGGGCTTATTACTTACGTGTTGACAGTAACCTCCTGTTTTACTCCATAGCGTTCTTCGGCCACGGCCGCAGCTAATGCGCCCAACAGCCCGGAGAGCGATGAAGCAGATTCGGTTATCTTCAAGGGGGTAGGAATGAAAGGTTTGCTGTCGCCAATAAACTTGACGTTTCGGGCGGCTGCTTTCACCTCAGGTGTCCAGCCAAGTCGATCATCAGCGATAATGTTTTCGACGAGAATCCGGGCGGACTCATTCTGCACATTGTAATCGGCCATTTTAGAAGAGTCTGTTTGATGTAGTAAAAGATGAGAGAAACTGCTGTTGAATAAATAGTCGGCGAACGAGAAGTATATAACTGCCGCAGCTACAAATGTTTAAATAAGGTCTTTGAATGACTACAAGCTACCATACCTTGTAAGCTCTAGGACTATAGTTGTTTACAGGCTGAGACATTCATAACTCGGACCGTTCGGCGCATCGCACTTCTTCAGCAACATAGAGGATTTCTATTACCGGCCATTGACAAACATGGCGAAACCCCACCATCTGGACAAGCAGATGACGCGAATGCTGGGTAGACAGTTTCAAGCCTCCTTTAGGCCAAAGAGCGACACACCAATAGCCTTCCTGGTATCCTGGGGCCATTTCCGTGGCACGACTGCACTGCCGTAGCACTCGCCGTCTTGGAAGCTGGTCTCGAGGACGAAGCTGTGTGTTTGGATGGAAAGTATATTGTCATGTCACTCACTGCACGTCCTAGGGTTGGGGGTTCCTGTCGGTCCGTCGTCGGCCCACGGCCCGAGAAAGGTACGTACCTATACGCTAAGCGAACCCCTCCCTGGTGTCCTTAACTCGCGCACGGATCGAGAGAGGCTGAATGTTTGAAGGTTATGTATGCCCCTTGAAGCTCAATGGACAAGATAAACTTTGGTTAAATTCTTATAAAAGATGACTTTCTCAGCCATATGGACGTCCTGTTCCTTCTCTAGTATTATTTCACTACATCACTCACACCCTTCTCCTTGCCAGACTTCTCAAAGCACCCCCTCGCATACATATATTGCTCCGAGTCTTTTCTACTATACCTAGTCAACCCCCCCCCCCCCCCTCAGCAATTCTTCAGACCCCTCATACATACGTTGTTCTATAGCCAACCCTTGATTGAAGTCAACAATGGATCAAAGCAGCCTGCGACTCAGCCGCTCCCTCCGAGGCAAGGTAGCCATCGTAACGGGCGCCGGGTGCGTAGGCGACGGAATAGGTAACGGACGCGCAGAGGCCATCCTCCTCGCTGAAGATGGCGCCTCGGTCGTCTGCGTCGACCTGTCCGAGAAAGACGCCGCCCGGACCGCAGAGATGATCAACAGCGAAGGCCACGGCGCCGCCATCCCCTGCGTAGCAGACGTCACCAAGACAGAAGACTGCGCGCGCATCGTCGAGCTGGCGCTAAAGACGTGGGGCCGCGTCGACGTCCTGATCAACAACGTGGGCATTGGCGGGATCCCTGGCACGGCCGTGGAGGTGGACATGGTGGCGTGGGGCAAGTGCATGGAGGTCAATCTGTCGAGTATGGTGCTTATGGCAAAGCATGCGATCCCGGCGATGCGCAAGAATGACGGCGAGGTCAAAGGCTCCATCGTCAATCTGAGTAGTGTTGCTGGCATGGGCGGCGGCTTGCCTCATCTCTTCTACCCGACCTCCAAGGGAGCGGCAATCAATCTGACAAAGGCCATGGCTGCCCAACATGGAAGGGAGGGCATCCGCGTTAACTGCGTAGCTCCAGGTTAGTCACTGACTCTATACCCATTTCCTGCAGATGCCGTGCAAAAGAGTTCCATTCCATGGCTTTTTAAAAAAAAAAAAACAATATTAAAAAAAAGCTTTGCTAATGCCGATGTAGGCTCACCCTGGACACCCATGGTATCCGCGAGTCCGGCAGTGACTGCGGAAATCCGCGAGTCGCGGCGAGAAGGTAACCTCCTTGGAACAGAAGGATCTGGCTGGGACACGGGCTATGCAGTCCGGTGGTTAGCTGGCCCAGAATCGAGATGGATAACTGGAACCATTGTACCGGTTGACGCGGGCGTTCTAGCTACTGTAAACCTGTCTGTACCTAAAAAGGGTTGGCAAAAGTAGGGTAGGAGATGGTTAATGATGATAGCTATATTCATATATAATGACGCTCCTCCTCTGGTCCTCCATCGGCTTCTATTGTAGGGGCTAAGCAAAGATTATCATTATTGATATGATCGAGCCTGTCCCGTGCTACATTGCGGTACAGTAGGCGGTTATGTATAGTGCAATTCGACGTAATATAATAGCGTTATTTCCTCAGACCTTTCGGCAGTAACCCCCAGAAGCCCAGCGGAGCGTCACTTACTTATATGCTATTCTTCTAACCATCATAAATAGAAGAAAACCCTTTACCAAAGATTTTCTCACAATATCATCGACCATCGAGTAATAAAATTATGAAGAGTTATATACCATATTTCTTGAATCCTATGTTATGTACAAGTAGGAGAAATCGGCTCATGCCATAAAAAATCGCAATCATTCAGTGGGAGAGTGCCCAGAAAGCCATTTGATATGAACTCGTCCAGGTGTGTTGGGAATGAAGCCGGCAAGTCCCCAAAATATGCATCCGATACGAAGTTCTCTGCTTCTATGGATTGTTGCTGTGCGTCATTCTCTGCGGACCCGTTGAACAGCAACTCCTTGGGCCTAGAACTCTTCTTCTCGATGGCTAAAACATGGTCCAGAGCGGAGCGCATGACCGTGAAATTGACCTCGACCATCCAGTTAGTCTTCTCGAGTTCCTTTAGGACAAGGATGCACGTTTCGACCTTGTTCCGTGCGAGGTCTCGCTCTAAGCGTTGCTTGGAAACCATCTGGATCAGGTGACAGTGCGTCACGGCAACGAGGGGTGCCAATCTATTGAAGGAGGTCGTTAGCTAAGTGTATGTATGTGTTGTAGTGATGGGGCTCCTAACATCCAGTGTCGGCGATACTGCAGCATTTGAAGATTGATCAGCGCTTCCAGGGTACTGGTGACCTGAGCTGATGCAGCAGTGATTTTGCGAAGGGTTTCGGATTGCCAGGACTGCATGTCTGATTTCGCGAGGCCCCGTGGAGCACCAAACAGATGAGGTCGTAAAATGCAAATGAGCGCACCTCTTTAGAAGAAATCAGCATCACTTGGTATATGGAAGTTCCAGCAATTTGTATCTTACCCGCTGCAGACCTGATAGTGATAGGCTGCTAGTTTGACCCATTTGTCAGAAGAATGGGTATCTTCTAATACCATCTGACGAGTCAGCCCCTCGGCATGTTTTAGATCGTCTTCCCAGGAATTGATCTCGTTGATGGTCGGAATATTGTCGTCTGCCATGTTCACCTTATTCAGAAACTTTTCAATAACCTCTCCTAGACGAAGGTTGTGGGTGTAGTAATTTGACAATCGGTCGATGTGACTAGATAAGTATCGATGTTGTATTGGTAACGGTAATTGCTTCAATTCCTGAAGGATTTCAGCCGAGGATGGCATTGGGATTTTGCTGTGAGACTGATTTACTCGCAGCCGTCTGCCAATCGTGACACAACCCCAAGCATCGAACATTACACAACCCCACCATATTCGATACCAGATTGACGGGCAAGAACTCTTCGAAGACACATCTGGAGACTGTGACTGGCAGGAACGTGGTAGCAAGTCTTGGCAAAGCCCTATCGCGTGCCCTATAAGTTTCCAGAGGGATGAGGCGTCCTTCTTGAATGGGGGATGCCAATATGCCATGAGCACGCCTGACTGCGCACTTGCCTCGTTGTCGTTGAGGTAGTTAAGATCGTACAGTTTCTTCCCATCCATGTCAGCAGTGTCCTTGAATAATATCAAAGTTATCAACACACTTTTGCGCGAGTATAGTAGCACTGGCTCATCTCAATTCGACTCATAAATCCAGCTGCATTTACAGCCTCAGGAGATGCAAACTGTACACTCTGATATTAGCACCATGAAGAGTTTATTTGATAGCTAAAGGAAACCTACATGCGATCCAGCTAAGAATACAGCCCATAGTAGCATCAGGTTGACGTTGGTAGGCCCCCCCTCAACATATCCGGTTAAGAATTTGTAGGCATTAACAACCGGGAGCAACACGTGTACATGCAAAAAATAAGAGCGTAGAAGTTCCTCGCAGACTTGGATAGGAGGAATTGAGAAGACGCCTTTAGCTTGCAGATAAGTGAAATCTTCGGGGCATAGAGAAGGGTGTTGAATTTCCTGGCAAATGGTGACATTATGGTCTGTTGGTTTTCCTGATGTATCCTTTATTGTCAGGCTGATAGAGAACTCGTTGGATGTAGTATGCCCTATTACATGTTACAAATTATTCAGGATTAAGAACATAATCAAAATTGGAAGCAGAAGGAAGACTGGTGAGAAAGAGCCTAGAAATCCGTCGAATGGGTGAGGCTTACCTATATATATTGGTTGCCAACATCCCGGACTCTGTTCGCTAGCGAAGTCCTCCACAGGTCGAGGACTGAGAGTAGAGACTGGTAAAGTTGGCTCTTCGTCCGGGACCGCCGGTACAGATGTCCCTAAAGTATCAGTAAATGGTGCCGAGTTGGCAATGGTGGTGCAATCCGATGTTTGGCGTTGGATACTTGGCCGTTCTTGCAGAGGCGACCCTTGGACCGGCCGAGAAGGGCAAGACGGAGGGGTGGCATTGCCAAGCTGAGTACGAAGACGAGGTATCACTGGAGACTTCTTGGCCCTGGTGGGAAAGCAGCAGTCAGATGGAACCCCGTGGGCAGTACATGGGTATAGACATGCCGTTTACTAGCGACTACTACACATTCAGCGACAGAGCGGTCGTCGGCTATACACGCAGAGCAAGGTCTCCCGCGAAGCATCGCGTCGCATTTGGTCTTCTTATGATGACACGACCGGCAAGCAGCTGCGGAGCGTCTCAGACCTGAGCGTGGCTTCTCGGCACGCGGAAGAAGACTCATTGCTATAGGCACATGGGGGTTTTGTAGATAAATATAATATACTTTGTAGGTGTTTAAGGAAAGGGAGAAGATAGAAGGCCGAGAGGACGAATGAATGGTTGACCGCCAAAGAAAGAAAGTTTTATAATATCCTATCACGCGGTTGCCCCTCGTTGCCAAGGCGCTAAAGAAGGGGGGGTTGGTTATCCGCTACAAGGATGGATTTATTAATAGCGTATAGTACTGCACAGTACTAACACTATCGGCATTATAGCCCCGCACCTACCCCGCTGTCGGCATTTGTAGACACCTCACAATGTACTGACTGTAGCAGTGGCATACTCAAGCCATACTCAAGCCATACTCAAGCCATAAAACATGACATGGCATCCACCTGATAAACATTGCTATACTCAGGCCATAAAAAGATAAATAACATGGCATACACCTATCACCTATACATCAATGCAATATACAACACTTGGCTTCTGCATCCCCTGAAGATCATTACCATTGGCCCGCTTGTTATCATCTTGCACTCCACTTCTGATGCGCGTACTGGAAGTGCGGGGGCAAAGTCACGGCACTTACAATAACACGCAATGGTATTACGGCACGGCACACCAGAGGCATCATATCATATGGAAAAGCATTTAGAGAATGCCGTTGTTCTGTGCCTAGGTTCATTGGGGTCTACCTGTAAATGCTGCTTCCATCTGTAACTGCTGCTTCACTTCCCATCCATCTCGTCGTATCACGGTGAGAACGACCAGCCATCCAGCGACCTCCCCCTATTTTGTAGCCACCACTTTCCGCGAATCATTGCGCATGTCGATGAGCTCGAAGGGAGGCAACCAACCAGCACGGCGCTCGATGAAGCTTTCCTGGTCCGGCGGTTCGACATCAGCTCCCAGCTTCCCCTCCACCTCATCCAGCGTGCCCGACTGTATAACGAAGTTCTGATCGAAGGGCGACATGTGCAACTGCTTGTACAAGCAAGTGCCGCAGATGCCACAGAAGTAGACGGAGAGCTTGCCGCCCAGAATATGATCCTGCGTGTGGCTCTTGAGGTTCTCGGCGCCCTTGGTCATGTGCACGTCCTTGGTTGGAACCATGAGGTTGACCGTGAAAGCACCACCGGATATCTTCTGGCACGTAATGCAGTGGCATAGGATCTGCAGGACATCAGTGGTTAGAGGACGCTAGCATAGTATTCCATGGAGAGCACGCAGACCCTTTCAAGAGGCTTCACGCCGTATTCATATCTTGTTCCATCGCACCAGCATCCCCCGGAAGGCATTTTGTGTCTTTGTTATATATAGGCTGGATAAAGCAAAGGTTCGTCTGATTATTAATAAGTAGTCGAATATCAGATGGTGATAAAGAGGTGATGATCGTATACAACCAAGTAAATGCGTTCTACAGGAACTTGCTATATATACATATGTCAAGCTCTTTTCCTAGAGCTATTCTTCATAGAGACTATTAAGTGATTTGCTATATCAGACGCTGATACTATTCGCGGTTCTATGACCAATGATAGCACCTTTACTTAGCGTCTCCTCGGACCGTGGCTCGGATAAAAGTATACGTACGATTAGCTTTACATACACATCATAGTTATGCAACCGCGATCTGTGGCCTTCCCGGGCCGTGGATCCGAGAACTTAGTAAAGGGGGGTTTTCTCTATAGAGTAAGCCTGCGAATCTAAGATCCGTTAGTCACGTGTCCATTCGCCGCACGATTCTCCTACAAAGGATATTCTTGGTATCACAGGTTTTCAGATACGTGATCACTTCTTCTACTAGTAGATAGACTTGATCTTGGGTTTCCTAGTTGATGATGCTTGGCATTTAGGTGTTGTTATGAACGCGAAGAGGTAATGCCTCTTCGCTGACTAAGCTACGATAAGTCACATGACTAGAAAGGTCGGGATGCAGTCCCTATATCCCAACAGATATTAAGGTAGACTTGGTCTAGTTGCCTTATTCTGTCTTGAATCTCACGGTAGACTGCGCTTTCTACCTGCTGGCCTAAGGCCTGTCTCTTTCTTTTATTCCTCTTCCTTTTTAACTACCCTCTACCTATTAGCCTAACAGCGCCCTCTACTTACTCCTTCTAAACTTTATTATCTTTGACTTTTATGATATAAGAATATACATAGAAAAAGCTTTAAAGAAGTATTAGAAATACAGCCCTTAAGCTTGAAACCTCTAGGTTGAAGGTTTCAGGATCGGTACAAATAAGAAGCTTCTCAAATTAGTGGTAACATTTCTTGGTGAGTCAAAAAGAACGTGACCTCTAGCCTCTGATCAGCCACCCTCTATACATGATTGGCTTCAGTGCAGTTGGCTTCCCTCTCATTGGCTTCCTCCCACTTCCACTTCTTACAAGATGTATGTTAATGTATAAGCGATGTGTTGCATCTCATTTCACCTCCTTCAACCTAAAGGACAACCACAACAGCGTCGTTAGGCCAGCGTCACCAACACTATCAATAGAGAGATCTATACCCTCTGCATCGAGGCATATAGTCTCTAGCCCTCGGATTCTATTCCCCCTTGCCAACCACAATGAGCTTCCCGTCACCCTATACAACCCGCCGCTTTCCATCTCCACGGAAGGACAAACTAAAAGTATCAACGGGGATAAAGTACGGGAATGGATCAGCATCCGTTGTGTGGGCAAACATAACATAGACGCCACGGATATGGGATGGGACTTACCTCAGCTCGTCTCGCACAACCCTACCCTACGTCCTCAGCTCTACTGTCAGAATCCCAAGCAATCGGATCTGTCAGTCTTACCAAAGGCACTGTCAGTATGCGGAGTCACTCAACACGACATCCCCCATATCGACTTCGCTATATACTGTATCATCCCCGAGATAAACGGTAAAGGATATATATGTATGCAGCAGAGGTAGCGTTGGCACGCACCGTTGGATTACGTTGGATTATCGCAGGGTCTGGAGGAGGTGTTTGGCTTCATCACTGCATGCGTTGGATAACGCGCCAAGTCATAGGGTTAGGGAGGATATCGGAATGCAGAATCGTGGCGTATGGCCGCTGGGCTGTTTTGGAGGGGTGTCCGGAAGGGGTTTTCACATCGCCGGGATGTGAACACTGGGAGAAGTACGGCTTCGCGCGTCCTAGTCCTGAAAGTACGTCTTGATCTACTATTCACATCGCTAGCAAGTATTCTTATAATGTTTATTACTTGCGTTAATCTATTAAATTTACTCTGTCTCAATAAATAGAGGGTCGCTATTGTAGATAACTCTAGTCTTTTGCGAGTTTGAGCAACTCTGGGAAAATCTAGATTAAGCAATATCAGTATACGTAGAGCAAACACATAATGACAAGGCTAGGGGTAACATACAGGTGTGCCGAACCCCGTGATAGGATCCCATCCTTTTGTACGTGTTAGAATACCAAACGTTTATAAACAGGCATGATTATGTGACTTACCTTTAGTGACGGGGAAACCAGCAGTACCGCAGCTCGAGGTGTTTCCGCCCAGAATGTCAGTGAAACCCTTGTAGCCCTTTGAGTATAGCCAGGGGTTGAGGAAGCCTAGAGGCGGCTTGCCACATGAGATTAATTCGTCGTTCACGAGTGAGATGATGGAACTCATGAGCGGACAGGAAGCGGAGGTTCCGGAGATGGAACTCTCGGTTCCGTTCCACCAGAATGCAAAGTAGAGACCTTGGGCAGCAAGATCTGGGTATGAACGGCCGTCTGTTACCAGTTAGTAAATTAAGTTTAACATTTCACGGATATTTGGTTTACTTTTGTTATAGAGTCCTTCGTACAATCCACCCAATGCGGAAACATAGGCCGGCACAACCGCATCTTGATATGAAGGGCGATCAAAGTAATTGCTGAAACCGCTACCAGAGGCGTAAAATCCGTGCGTCTTATTATCAGGTCCTAATCCAGGGGCGCGGAATGCTGCAACCTCAGGCTCAAATTCCTGCGTAGCCCCTACGGCGGTTACGTACGGGCAACTGGGTGGAAAGGAAGGGATAAAGGTAGTTGTGTTCTTGCCGTCGTTGGTGAGGCACCCAGAGCTGTCTTCGCCGCCAAGGCCACCGTCGCCACTAGACACCAAAAGGGATATACCTCGAGCTCCGAGCTGGGCATATTGCTTGCACACTCTGTCGGCATACGATTTGGGCACTGTTTGTTCGTCATCTCCATAAGAGCTGCTAATCACCTGTGGAACATCCTTCTGGCCCATTACATAGTTTACCCAAGTCAGGTATGGCTCGTTGGTGTTCGTTGGGGTGTTGATGTCCGGGAGGAAAGGTGGACTTCCTCCAGTTGAGTATGAGTATACAGGTTGAGGGTAGGTCATTCCGAGAATAGTCTGGGCGTCCAAGTTTGCTTCCTTTGAAATGTCATCCCCAGCGGCTTGTTCAAAGGTTAAAGACGTATTCTGAGCTGCTGGACCACCGTCAATTTCAATTGACTTGAAGGCGTATGCGTTTGGAGCAGCCTCAGGGCGATACTTCTGTAAGAACGAGAATACATCTGGTCGGATTGGACGTTGGCCGAGATAGTTATTGAATGCAATCTTGTTGATTCCGGGAACCTTCTGCTGATAATCTATTGTACCATACAAAGTTTGAAAACATTCAATGGTGACCGTGAAGAGACGACAGACTTTGGCAATTGTCTCATTGGTCGGGGGCTTGTATCCTGGGGGTGTATATGGCTGGTCGAATTGAATATAGTCGGATTTCTGCGGAGCTGAACGCATGAAAGATGTCGTGGGCTGGACAGTATCAATATGTTCGTGTAGATGAGCTGGCAGGGACCAGTGAGAGGTCCGGACCAAAGCAGAGCCATCCTCATGCTGGAATACAGAGTACTCGGTGTCCAGAAGCTTTTCGGCAGATTCCACATCAATATAGATGTTGATCCAGTCCTTTGCTGGGCTGTAGGCCAATTCCCTGACGCCATTGGTTAACAGCCATTCGTGGACAAGGTCGAGAGTCTCTTCGGCGGGCTTGACGAGCTCAGTAACATCCTCGAAAGAGAGATGATTCCCATATCGGCTGTGATTGGGATCAGAGACTGGAGCTGATGTTAGCTATACGGGACTTTTAGAAGTATAAATTCCAGAAATTGCGCTGAGATAAAACAGAACACAAAAGCCTGGGAAGGATACAGTGGGTGGCTGAATTGAACGATTTCTACTCGAATTGCAGAGAATTGGCATTCTGTCTTTGATTGCCACGCGAATAACGGAAAACATAACTTCTTACCTTCGTACAAGTGTCTATCCAGTTCGTCAAACTTGTCCTGCTTCAACCCAATCTGGAGATGAAGCATATGGTCGCCAGCAGCTCGGCCAAGATTCTTCCATTTTCGAGGCACATTGTGCGTCTCCTTGACACTGTAGGGAGTACGTGAACGGATCGGGGTAGCAAAGACAGCTTGAGCGCCAATGACGGCGGAGAGGAATATAGTGAGGTCCAACTTCATGGTGGGCTTTGCAGTATTCTGAATGGAACCGAAGACAGAGTGGAAGTCCTAAAATGAAGTCGGTTGAAGGTGCTAGGAAGCTTTATACTCTGTGTCCCGTCATACTTGATAGTTTCCCAGTAAAGTTACCCCTCATGAGCTCGGAAGCTGTGTAATATACATGCATGCAGCCAGTAAGCTATGAATATGCAGTAGCTAGGATAAGGGATGAAAACGGTGCCTGCTTTGGTGTATACGAAGAAATGGAAGCCATATCGCTGCATGTTCCTGGTGCTTTGAGTTTTTGACTGCTTTCATTTGTGGATTGATATCTAGGAACAAGTCGGACCTTCCCAAAGGGTGTAGCGGATCTACAGATACCTTGTACACCACGGCCACGGCACGGACGACCACCCCTGAGCGGCCATGTGAGTAAGCCTTGTAATTGCACGTTGGTTGGCTGGAAACTGTATAGGTAGTAAGTAGCTGGGATGTTTATCTACCTGCTGTGGACGGACAGCTCGTAGATGTCCGGACGTCCAGATATTCAAAGTGAAATTGCGGGTCGGGAGAGAATTCGCGGGTACGGACTAGTACTATACCATGTTCCTGTGTTGGATCATTAGAGTTCTTCCGTGCCGTTGGTAACGACTTGCCCAAAAGAGAGGATCCATGATAGAAGGCTAGAAAGACGTTCCAATAACCAAATAATGCCAAGCATAGGGTGATTCCGAGATGTGGATATACTTTTGCAACTATTCGAACTTCCTTCCTCTTGAGGAACTAGGTGAGAGTCACTAAGGAATGAGATGCTCTTCCCATTAACGGGGACAGGCAAATTTATACTAAAAAGGAATATGTAAGGAATATGTGATCAATTAGAAGTAGTGAGTAGAATAATAATGCTGTGAGGGGTTATACCGAGACTTCATAGACTTAGGGATCAATATATACACAATGCAATACTTGTGTAACCAATCCAATAATCCCGCTACAAATATATGAGGGATTTGCAAAAAGATATATAGATCTAAAAGAAGAGGAGTCCAAGTGCACCACTTATCACGTGGCGATAGACACTATTGGGTGATTCTTGAGGACATTCCATGTCAACAACACCATCTCCATTATACCACACCACACAACATCACACAACACAACACCACCACAATTGCAGGATGCCTTCATCTTCTGACGATGACGACGACAATGATGAGGATACCGTGTTCCAATCCCACTCCCACCCCCACTATCGCGGAGATTCCTCCAGCTCCTCTCCCTCCCCTCCTCCGCCCCAGCACAACTTCTTCGCGCCGCCCTTCTACAACCGTCCGCCTACACCTCTCCCCCCATCGCCCTCATTGACCTCCCTCCTCCGCCCCTCTCGACCGACGACCCCCGACAGCTCAGCCGACGAGCTTGAGCCAGTGCCGCGGGCCTCTCCGAAAGTGCCAACCTACGAATACTACGGCTTCGTGCTATACCTCTTCTCCTCCCTGACCTTCCTCATGTACCTGCTCTGGTCGTACCTACCATCGCCTTTTCTCCACGCACTCGGGATATACTACTATCCGAACCGCTGGTGGTCTCTTGCGCTGCCGTCCTTTATCGTCATGCTGCTAGTCTACATCTACGTTGCGCTCGCGTCTTACAACACGGGGTATCTGACGCTTCCTCTAAGCTCCATTGAGACCATCATTGATGACGCGGCGAATGTCGCTACGTTGGATGGGAAGGGAAGGAAGATGGGCGCTACAAGGGAGAAAAGAAGGGATCGCTCGGATAATGACCTGAAGGATTGGCAGAGTCTGTGGAGTCGGGGGACAGATGCTGTTATGGACGTTCCACTAGGAGGGGTGTGTGAAGTTCTATACGGAGACTTGCGGGCGGATATAGAGGTTGAATAGGAGGAGTGATGGATTAAGCTGTGTTGCCAGAACCTATAGTTTTGGCTGGCACAGTATTGCACGATTTAAGCTCAAGAGCTTCCAGCCCGCACAAACTGGTATATGGAACAAGTCTATCACTATCAGGCAGCTTATCAGAGTTTTCAGACTCTCGAAACCGCGCCCCGAAATCTACAAACAATTCCTGGAAGTGAAATAGACTTGAACCAAGGTCAAGCCCGAAAACTCAACTCCAGCCCAAGGCGAACAATTTCTGGACATGAGATTGAAACACCATCTCCGCATCCTCGAACATCATAAGGGCATTCATCTGCGAGGCAGCAGTCTAGGCCATATAATCCCTTCAAAGACTGCTCGGGCTTCTCCTTGCTGAGGCATAGGACACGGAAGATATGTTGTCTAGTCCCAGGGCCCTGAAAAGTTTGGCAAGGAAGATCCTGAAATCCGCGACAAGTTGAGGCTTATTTGTTGACCTGAGGAGAAGGCGGAAAAGGATAACGGAGAAGGCGCATTTTGTTATGTGCAGCTTGTCAGTAAGAAGAGTACCTAGGCAGCATGGGAATACACCAATAACACATATATGCCGAACAAAACCTATTTCATCCGCAATGTGCCAAGATTGTGGGGGATTAGAGACGAGAATCCACACGTATCTCTCCAAGTACATGTTCGTTGCTGTTCTTCAAACATGATCCTATCCCAACCCTCATTAATTGCAGCTTCTTTCTCAATACCAATTGTTTGCGAACCTCTATAAGCATTATCACCATCGCATCGCTACCAGTCCCGTTGTATTCCCAGACCCACCGCTCACATATGATTCTCGATATCCTCTATCCTCTGGCTGGCAAATCAGCTCCTTCTATTCCCGCTCCTTGTATGAATTAAAGCGTGGGGAGCTCAACTTGTGCTACCGTAACAAGCTACCCGTAAAGTCTAACAACATCTTGGAAGAATGCAAATGGTTAAGTACTATATATAGCACCTATGGCTAGTATCTCTTTAAGTAGTCTTTTTGTACAACATCCCCCGATCAGGGGGGCAAAAAATGTTCGTCTAAACTACATATTTTCCCTCCCATATCCCGGTCCATGCCATGCAATGAGCAACGAGATTAAAAAAGGTGTCTTGAAATACACACAGAAAGGGTATTGCCGCTCATATAGCATAGCATCTCGTCTCGCATATCCATCCATCATTAATCAACGTGCGAAAACCTTCACGACTCCGTCTCCTCCGGCGCTGACTACCCATCTCCCATCCTGGCTCCAAACTACAGAACATACACCCTCACCCCTCATCAAACGATGACTTGTGATTTCCTGGGTGCAACTCCGCTTTTCCAAACTCCAGAAACGGAGACTTGCATCGTGACCAGCTGAGACTAGTTCTCTGCCATCTGGCGACAGTGACAGGGCCGAGATTGCGGCCGGGTGAGCTAGCATGTTGTATGTGCATTGACCTGATGTTTGATTAGCTGGCTGTAAAATTTCAAAGGAACGCTCGAGACTCTTACCACTGTTAGCATCATAGAAACGAATAAATCGGTCTTCGTGGCCACTGATTACAATGCCCTCAACACCCCCGCTCGAGCCAGTAGCCCCTCCAACAACGCCTTCGTCTTCTGAAAGCCCTCTGCCAGAATCGAAGCTCAATGACCCATCCAGCCCATTGGTAGTCGCGACAATTGCATTGACACCTGTTGATGCCGTATCATTATACGTCTCCAGACTGGCCATTGAAGCAACCTCTTCGCCGGTCCTGGTGTCATAAACCAACACGGCGGCATCAGAGTAAGAGACCACGAAAGCATCCCCTGACGCAGAAAGAGGTGTGATACAAGTCGGCGAGGCAGTGTTGTTTGATCTTGAGATCGAATGGATTAAGGTGTAATGAAATGGGGAATTTGAGGCCACGCTGGGCTGTGGTGAGGAAGGGAACGCCGAGCCAGACGACATGGAATTCCCTCGGACACGACCACCCCTTCGCTGACTGCCGCCCGAAGGTGATACCAATTGCGGCGGAGCACTGACAGACCATATCTTGACCGTGCCATCAGCAGCTCCAGATGCAAGCAGGATTCGATCCGGGCCGCCATAAGCGTTGTTCTGGCCGAAAACAGCCCCTGTCGTTCCAGGCAGAACACATACTGTCCAAACAGCATCCGTGTGGCCATCTAAAGTCGCCTTTGGATCAACTCTCCCGCGTTCCCAGACTCGGACAGTCGCATCTTGACCTCCGGAGAATATCCATCCATCACCTTGGGCTCGTCCACCACTGGAGAAATTCTGGGATGGCGACCAGGCTGTCAAGCACATGACGGTTCCGGTGTGTCCACGATGTGTGAAATAACTCTGGATGTCCAGGTCGTTTGGACCGTTGTGCATTCCGGGTTGGGTATCGTACCTTGCGGGTATGATCCACCGCTTGATAGTTCCATCATCGCCAGTAGTGCATATTTCAGGCTCCCCAGGACTTCCACCACCAGTAAAGATAACGGATCTCACTGCATCCAGGTGTCCCCTTAGTCCGAACCTCACTTTGAAACTGCCACCATCCACCTTCAAAGCCTGGTTCAGTGCAAGGTCAGGCTCCCCACTTTTCCGCCGCGATATTGAAGTCTTCCTACGATGCGATCCTGGTCCTCGGTTAGGTGATTTCGGTGCATCCTGTGCAACTGGAAATAAATCTGTGTCTGGTCGTTGGGGGGCTGGTTTGATATCTGGATCCGCGAATTGTGCCCCGTCGTTAAAATCCCAACCGTCTGCCTCTGTCGCGGGTTCTTTATCTGTCGTCGTTTCAAGATCTGCCGGCCGCCCATATGAATCAAAACTATGATTGATTTTGGTCACCTCCTCCTCTGGCGGATCGGGCATTTGGAAGGTGGTAGACCATTCTTGTTGCGTGGGTTGTGGCAAGGGTTGTTGGTCGGCGAGAGATCTTGACATGGGCACTTCAGGGTTTCTTACAGCCAGGTTTGATGTAGGTACTGGTGGAGGGTGGTGGTTCGGAGTTGGTGACGGTCGTGACAGACTAGACTCGCGCATGTTTTTCTGTCTTGGTTGCTGTTGGTACATCTCCTCCAGGCTCTGTTGACTAGGTCCCTGCCCAAAAGACGGGGGTTGTAATAGGATATCTTCAGGAGACGGAGGATCTCGAGGAGGTAGCGGGTTCGATGGCGACACCATGAGGTAGGTGAGCTCTCCTTGTGTCTTGTCCATAAAACCTTTAAGACTTCCGCGATCAGGGTCTTCATCGGGCTTTTCTTCGCCCTCTTCGACATCTAGAAACGAATTGTGAGGCTTGTCTTGCGTTGCTAAATCTACGGTCAGCTGCCGTACATTAAGATCAGAGACCAAAAACCTACGTCGCACATGGTCCTTCTTGGAAGCTGCACTGGCCTTCTCCTTCTGGTCCCGAATGGACTCGATATTTATCTCCTTGCCAGCCTTCAATGCCTTGACCTGAGAATCTCTCTCCTTGAGAGCCTTCTCCAGCATATTGATATATTTCTTCAGGGCTTTATTCGAGCTGTCGGATTTCCTGGTGCTGCCCTCCAGTCGAGCTATTCGGCCCTTCATCTCTTGCCGCTCGATCTCCCACGCGTTTCTATCTCGCTCGTGTCTGTGCCATTCGGTCTGGAGAAAGCGCATTACACCTGGGCATGTTAGCAAAATTTCGCGTACATAGTCTTAGGAGATATTCCCACCCTGTAGAGTATATTCAGTGCCCTGGGGTTGGTTCCCCTGCTGCTGGGATCCATCTTGACTGCCATTCCCACCACTGTTCCCACCACCGCCCATGCCCGACAGAGACTGCCAGGCCATCATAACCTCCCTCGCAGCCCCTTACTCGCCGGCCTGCCCTGCTCCTGGCTGCGCAGTTGTCAAGTTGTAAGCTAGGTGGGCATCTGTTTGTCCAGGCGCAACCCAACGGCAAGGACGAGGAGGCTTTTCGCAGCGGCGCGCTCAATTTCTCATGGCGAGCTGAGGTCTAAAAAGGGGCGGCCTTTAAGATGTACAGAAGCTCCAAGGAAAGATATGTCGAATTGGTGGTGGTGTTTGTTTTCGGCCGAGCAATGTCAGGAAGAGAGCAACAGAGAGCTGTACGTATGTAACTGCCACCAAAACCTTAATTAAGGCCACAAGGCACCAGATCGTTCGTTGCTGTTTTAGACAAATTCACGCCGCTTTACACGCATTCAGGGGCAACTTAATACCATTAGGAGTAAGTATTTATAAAAACCCATGATACAAATACACTTAGGTAATATTTCCTCGTATTTTATTTACATCTTTTATCAAATGTTTCTAGAAGTGCACCGCAAGTATGTAAATAATCAAGGGTCTTAACACTACATACGGGATGCGGCAGAAAGCGGCATTGTTTCCTCATCCTTGTCATTTTGCCCCTATTTATATCGATCAACACAATAACCTTGGGGTCCCATAACCTTAAGCTTACAAGAAGACATCAATGCACGCGACAGGCGAACTTCATAGACTATTATTTCTGGTCACATGAATGAATAGGAATGCAATATATACACTGCAATGCCATATCTCAGCCAATATCAAGAACTTTGCCTGGACCTTTAAAACTCCAACTCTTCAACTTCCATCCCACAGTCGACACAAGTCTTAACCGTCATCCCATCTGCATTCTCTACTGTCTGTCCCCAATCATGCTCATGCTTCCCACTCCCAATCACATCCCCGAACTGCCCGGCCTTCCCACCATTCTTAAGATTCCTCCTATAGGCATCTGTCCTGGTCTTCTTCTTCAACTCATGCAGCTTGCTTTTAAATTTCGCTTCCTTCCTCTGCTTTTTGTCTATCTCTCTCTTCTCAAATTCGGCATCCAGAGCTTCAGCTGACCCCCACTTGGTTGTGAAGGCATACTCTTCAACTTGGTAACGTAGAAACAGCATCATATCATGCCAATGACTCTTGTGCGGGTTTGGTTTGCTCAGATGCGGTAATAAATCCCCATCTTTCAACTCAGCTATCGATTATTAGCACTGTTCGTCTCGTCAACAGGCGTACTCACGATCTGTTAAGAGGTAATCGTCCTTTGCCTCCGTCTTCGTAAGCAAACTATACTTCTCCGGAAACTTATCTTTACACCTCGAACAAATACTCGTTTTGAACACATCAAGCCACTGCCAATCAATTTCCATCCCTCCACACTCCCTGCACTTCTGCCCCTCCTTTCCCATCATAATGCTGGGCTCAAACGGTCCTTCTTTTCGATTCCGTAGACCCTTGAGCAATTGATGTCTCTCCCATTCCTTCAGCGTCATATGTGCCGGCTTCTCGCCTTCTTTTCCTGGTGCATGTAGCACTTTATTAAATGGATCGTCTTCAGCCGTTAAGAAACCACCCTTTGTGTCCGTCATCTTGCTGAAATCATGATCAACGTATTTCTTGAAGTTGCGCGCCGGCTGAATGCCAGCATCCTTTGTTGGAGGCTGGCGCGCATCGCGGCTTGTAGAAGGAACATTCGCCGTCGAGATGGAGGCATGCGCGCGTTTGCGACCAGAATCCGAGGTTGCGATGAAGCCGGCGGGAGTGCGGGATGTTGTGCTTGTTTCGGCAGCTGCTTGCGCTGCGAGGGAACGTTCGCGCAGCGCTTTGGCTTTTAATCTGTTTTCCTCCTACAAGAGATCAGTCCATGTAGAGAGGGAGTAGAGAGGGAGCAGAGAGAAGTAGAGAAGGCAGGGCCAGTGGACATACAATTCTGCGAGTGACTTCTGGAGTCAGTGGAGTTCGTGCAGGAAGGGCTGAGACAGAGGGGGTATTTCGAGGAGGTGTAGTCGGTCGCTCCATGGTTTATGACTAGGTACTGTTAATGTTTTGCAAAGAGGCGGTGGTATGGTGTGGTGGTGGTATTTGAGGTTGAATGGGACGAGGCTGAAGGAGTGGCGATTCTCATGGCAGCCTTGGTGATGCGCTTGTAGAATTCATCTGAACCCGCCCCCGCCATTAATACTGCAATAATAAATGTTATCTATATTTAGGACAATTTTCCCAACCCAGCTGTCTCGCGTGTAATCACTTTTCACCCAGATCATCTGAAGCATATTTGGTGTTGTGACTCAGGGATTTCTACGTATCTAGCGTCGCAATACCTTCTATGATTACAATGAAGATGGTAAAATACCCTTTTCACACCTTCGTTACACCCAACACTCCCCCATACCCCCATAAACATACAATCCCAGTAGATATTATGGAAATGCAACCTAGAGGCCCATCTACTCCTCCTTAGAACCCCCACGACCAGCCTTCTCCGCAGCCTCAATTGACTTCTTGTCCTGTGCAGGAGCCGCACCTCCCTGCAAGGCGCTCATAAAACCAGCCGCCGCCTTGAATGGTCGCCTCAGTTCGCCAACTGCTGCCTTTCCAAACAGATGGATCTTGACCTCGTTGCCTTCAAATGCGCTCTTGAGGGGGATGATCGATTGGATCAAGAGGGGGTTGGTGTACTTGAAGTAGATATGCATCACGCCCATCATTCCAATTCCCATGAGCTGTGCCTTGTAGAGAGACTTCATCTGGTCGACGTCGTACTTGTGGACGGTGGTGGTGATGGGCTTGGGCTCTTCGGTGGATCCCATTTGGGGTTGTTCGACATATTTTAGGGTCGTCATATCTGTAGAAAAGTGAAGTTAGCAAAAGCGTTGGGTCTAGAATTACCGGAGATACTAGAGAAACCATTACTCCATTGCAGCAATTACGTACCTTTCTTCTTGTTGATTATCAGATGCGTGTAGGCGTACACAGCGATGATGATAAGGTTGCTCAACAAGTATCCTGCGCGGACCAGGTTCAGCGTATTGGGATCATCGAGCGGTATCTTCTTCGACACCTGCATCATCCCAAGGATGATAACCAGGTTAGTACTATAGTAGCAGTCAGTAAGAGTAAAGGTAATAGCAAGACTATTGCTGGCACAAGGATGGAGGCGATCGATGGGCGTACATCTGAGGTGATACCATCTTGAATTGGGCAAGGTAGGTAGCTGGCTGGTGGTGGTTCAAAGTTGAGGGTTGTCGATGCAGAGGTCGAAATTGAATGGGACTGGAGTAGGAGCAGGAAGGAGCAGGAGCAGATACGCGTAGTGGTTAATTGAAGGTATTCGCAAAGTGCTGGAAGAGGACGTGGACACTAAGGCCAGGTATAGACGGCGGACCTAAAATTTCTAGCGGCCGCTAACCGAAAGCAGCACAGTTTACTGAAAAGGACACCTTACTACATGGACACATGTACCTTACCTTACATTTCTCTTAATTATTATAACCGCATATAAAGATATTCATGGAAAATATAGGATCCATTACTACATGTACCTTACATTTCTCTTAGTTATCATAATCGCGTATAGGGAGATTTATGGAAAGTATAGAATCACTAAGCCAGGCGGGGGGTATATCTGGGTAGCCAGTTGGAATTATAAAGAATCAAAGGATTATAAGATTATAATCTGATAGTTGGGTCAAGTCACTTATAAAACACATAGGTAATCAATCAGAGGAGGTTCAGGCTTATGACAAATTGACATTAACATATAACTTCCTCTTCCTCCAAGGTGTGGCTAGCAAAGGAGGGTCTAGGTCTATATCCCCATAAGTTGTCATATATTCTTAGAAGAACCAAATGAAATGCTCCAAGGTTACAAAATCCTCCTCAGTGTCCACGCATAATACTTTGTCCCATACCTCAGCCATCGTGCCTCATCACGCTCTTCCACTTCCCTCGCATGATCCAGTTACTAGTGCCCTCGATCCTCACAATGTTAGGCTTTTTGAAATCGTATGAGACATAATGGATGCCCGTGACGTAGGTCGAGAGGTAGTAGGAATCGCCGGTCTCGTCGTAGAAATCGTAGTCCCAGCATTGAGTGATGTTAATCTTCAACTTGAAGTCGTACCAACCGAGGACATTATTGCAAAGACAGTACTGCTTGATGTCGAATTCTTGACGCGCTCGACAGGTGTCTTCCAATTGTCTTTCTTGGTGACTAGCCACCATAAATCATCGATATCATGTGTGACAAATTCCTGCTTCGTATGTCTCTCAGGGCCACCCACAACTTCGTCTTGGAGTTTCCCTTCCGCAACAGCCGAGTCGCTAGATTTTGGATATCCAACCCGGTATTTTGTCCCTTTGGGACTCGTAAAGTCTTTCCATTCTATTTGACTGTCATCATCCTTTGAAACATAGCTAACACCAGTTATGGGGGTGTCTTCGGCCATTGCGTAGCTTAGATTTGTATGGGTAGGAGTTGGACTAGAAGGGGATATTGTGTTGCCGGACGATTTCTTGCTTGGTGGAGAACTTGAAGAAGAGGGAGGAGATGGGTTTTTATACTTATGACAATAATGGATTGCTACTAATACAAGTAGAGAATGTGAGGAATATATATATGAACTTATATGATAAGCTTTTTTTTCCGTCTTCTATGTCGGAATGTAGACAGGCAGACTGTTGGAAATACAGCCCTCGCGGTATCAGGTGACGCGGCCGCTAGGGGACGCGTACGAGGTTCTTATAACCTCGTCTTCACCTCTATAGTAGCTTTCCTCCTTTAAGCTAATATAACCCCTTTAACCCACTTCCCTAACTGTGTCCCTATCTGGTCTATGTGTCCTTCTAGAGGTAATAATCCTAGGAGGCATATAGTTCTAATAGGTTCTAAGCCCTAGTTATAAGGATAAAGGCCTTTAGTTTCCACCTAAAATAATCCCGCTACTATATAAGTTTAAGAGCAGTCCGTAGGTAGTAAAAGTAACGTTTAAAGGGATAATATAGCATACCTATAAAGAGTAATATTTAAAGGGATAACGCTTTCGGATTCCGTTAATTAAGGTTTAATAAAAAGAGTAGATAGTTGTAAGGCTATTAGCAATCTACTAAGGTTAAACTCTATATGATATAACAAGCCTATAGTAAAAGGGCATTACATAGTCTATTAATTAAGGTTTAATAAAGAAGAGATAGTTATTTCTTAAGCTCTAGGGGAGCAAAAGAGAGAGATAAGAGAAATAGGGTTTCTTAGCTCTAGGGGAGCACAACTTTATAAAAACCCTTCTTATATACGAATTTGATATAAATAATAGAAGCAAGCCGCTACACCTTGCTTTATACCCTCTTTATATATAAATAATATATAATATAAGACAAGCCGCTATAACTTGACTTATACTTTCATTTTCGATTTCCTTTATACGTTTTTTAAATTTTTCTACTACTATATTTATTCACTCCAGCTATATAAATTTTCCACGCTACCTAGGAAACCTACATATAAGACCCTCCTTTTATAAATACTCCCTTTCTGAAAACCATTACGAAAAGAGACTAATATAATAGCAGAAAACGAATTATAGAAGATACTAGTCTTAATAAGAGAGAATTATAAGAAGTGGTTCTAATTGCTTAGTGCTAAGCTTTAAGAAAAGGCAATTAAGTATATTATTAATAAGAGCATCCAAGAGTATATAAGATATGCAACTGCAGATAATATCTTTAAGGCTATAGATATACTATAGGACTTATCACTTAATAATACCCCAGGTTTATCTAGGGCCTCTTTATCTGCAATAACGCTAATTACTATGCCAATTCACCTTAACTTAAAGAAGAAGGTAAAGTATAAGAAGGATAAAGGGACTATTAAGTTCTACCTTCTTTAAAGGCTTAGCAATAATAACTAGAGTCTCCTAGATAAATACGAGATAGTAAAGAAGCTTTAGAAGTACCTTAAGATAAAGTACACCTAACTAAGTAAGATTACTACAGGAAAGTTTATAAAGGAGCTCTATAACTTTAAGTAGACTCTAGGACTTATAGTAATTAATAGTTTTAATAAGCTAAAAGAGATCTGCTATAAGATCATCTCTACTAACTTAAAGGCAAAGGATTAGTACTCTAATAATACTCTTTTTCTTCTACTTTATAGCGCTCTACCACCTAGCTATAAGGCAATAGTTAACACTTTAGCTATAATAATAATACTAGTTAATAACTAGATTAAATATCTTTAGGAAAAAGAAGAGAGGCTTGCTACTACTAAAGCTAAGCATAGGCTTGCTATATAGGGGGGATTTAAATATTCTCGCTGCTAATCCTAGGACTTACCTGATAGAAATAGTCTAAAATGCTATATCTATAAAGAAGAGTATATAGTACTAGAGTGCCTATTCCTCTTAAAGTTCTAGAGATAAGTATTAAAGCTACTCTAAGAGAAGAGATCCTACTAGAAGTTATCTAACTATAAGAGTTTATCTTGCTATAAATCCTCCTATAGCAGATAAGATAATAAGAACTTCAAGTTAAAGAGAGACTAGGGATTCCTAGGAGCGGACTCTAGAAGTAAGAGCAACTTAAACTCTAATGCAACTCCTATAGACTCTTTATCTAATAACTATAAAGAAGAGGTTATAGCAATTACTAAGGAGTAGAAGAGGATAATCTTAAGTAAGCACTCTACTATATAGCCTATTAATTTAGGAGTATTATTATATATAACTAATAAACCTTACTTATTTAGAGAGCTATTAAAGAAGTGCTTCCTACCTTGGATTATATAAGTTAGGGGGGAATATTAAAGTTAGATAAGTATAGGATAGCTAAAGTTATTACTAAAGATAGATCTTCTTATTTCCTTAAGAATACTCTTTTTATTCCTAACTTTAGGATTAATTTAATTTCTACGAGATATTTATATAAAGATGGGATTTAAGGACACTTTAATAATAAGAAGATATACTTTAAAAAGGAGAATAAGACACTTATTACTATAAAGTAAAAGGATAGCTTATACTATATAAAGTCTATCTTGAAATATTATTTAGAAATAGCATTTCCTACCTTTAAAGAAATAGAACACTAAAGTGACTCTAAGAGCATCTAGGACCTAGATAAGTTAGAAGAAGATAATATATTAAAGAACTAATAATAACACTTTTAACTTATATATAAGCGTTTTAGTTACTATAGTGCTAAGTCCCTCTAATATCTATATAAGGTTATAACTAGAGTAAAAGCGATTAAGATTCTAGCACCTTACTAGAGGATCTATAAAGCATACAAAATTAGTAAGATATAAAAGATAATAAATAAGACGCTAGCTATTTACAAGTCTAAACCCTTAGCACTTATATTAATTAACATTATAGGACCCTTTATAAAGTCAATTCGAGGTTTTAAGTACTTTCTATAGATTATTAATAACTTTACCTAGAAGATTTAGATAATCCCACTAAAGTTAAAAGATAAAGCAATTCTAAGACTCTAGGAATAGAGAAAGAGATAAGAATAGAAAGGAAAATAAAAAGTGATTATATATAGATTAGATAATGCTCTAAAACTAAAAGATACTATAGATAGATAGGAAAGAGAGAATAGTATTTCTATAGAGTATATAACTATTATATTATTACACTAGAATAGACTAGCTAAGAGAGTAATTTAGATAACTAAAAATATAATAAGGATAATAATAAAAAGCTTTAAACTACTATTAGAATTCTAGTATTTCATAGTAGAAACTAATATATATATTAGAAACTAGTTACCTAGGGGACCTAAGATTGCAGGTAAGAGAATATCTCTAGAAGAAGCTTATATAGGTATTAAATAGATCTCTAACCACCTAAGAGTATAGGGATACTAGTATTTTATATATATAGACCTAAAGACTATTCTAGCTACTTAGCTATATAATAAGCAGGCAAATAGAAGGTAAGAAGCAGTTTTCTTAAGCTATAGTAGCAAGACTAATAAGTAGTACTAGTTCTACTCTACTAACCTTGGCTATATATAAAGATTAAGCTCTATTATCTTCTATAAGTTAGTAAAGGGGGGAGATTTAGAACTCCAGCTATAAAATCTACTAAGTGGAGTTATAAGATAAGGAATATCTCTAGATCTACTTAATTATAAACTATAAGGCTAACTAGCTAGGAAGCCTATTAAATAGGAACCCTAGAAAACCTTAAAGCTAGTAGTAATAATACTATTTATTAAGCACTAACTAGATCTTCTATTAATCCTAGAAGACCCTATAGAGGAAGTTAAGCTTCCTAAGACTATCCTAGTTAATATAGGAAACTAGGGAAGCAACCTTCTTAAGACTATCTTAAAAAGTAAAGTTAATTATAAGAGTAACTTTCTTAAGACTATCTCAGGTTATATAAAGCCTCTTCTAAGTAAGTCTTAAGAGGATAGAGTGAAATATATAGAAAAGAAACTTAGGAAGGAATAAGCTAAAATGCTCTACTTCTTCTTTTAAACTAGGAAGAGAAGTGACTCTAGAGAAGAAAGTAAAGAAAGGATAGCTAAGAGAGTCTATACTATAGTTATATTATTACTCCTAGATTTATTAAACTGCCTAGATATAAAGGAATCACCTAAGATTAAAAAATGCTTTATTACTACCCTATTACTAACTACTAGTAGAAGCAAGAGAAAGGAGGAGATCTTTTAGATATTCTATGCTCTACTTTATAAAATATATAACTATTTATCTAAAACTATACTATCTACTTTAGTTAAATAGGGGATTTATATCCCTTATATATATAAGAAAGTAATAAAAAGCAAGCATATAAAAGAATAAGATATGGCAATATAGGAAGAGATTAAGACTCTAATCTAGAATAGCACTTAGAAGAAGTTTATACTTCCTAGGAGAGTAAACTTAGTTTCTGTAAAATAGGTATTTAATATTAAAGAAACTATTAATAATAAGATTAAGCGCTTTAAGGCTTAACTTATAGCATATAGTTTTACTTAGAAGTATAGAAAAGACTATACTAAGACGTTTGCTCTAATAATCTAGATAGATACACTTTATATCTTTATAGCTATAGTTATAAAGCGTGACCTATAGTGCTCTTAATTTAATATTAAGAATGCCTTTACGGAATTACGCCTTAAGGAAGCAATCTATATAGCTCTACTATAAGGCGTTAAAGTAGTAACTAGGAAATGCTTAAGACTTCTATAGAGCCTTTATAGTCTAAAATAAGTAAGATGAGATTAGAATCTCCTGCTATAAAGCTACCTTATCTAGATATATAAGTTTAAATAAAGTCTAGCCGACCTATATCTTTTTGTTTACTATATATAAAAGGTGTATCTCCTAGTTTATATTAATAATATTGCTGCTACTATAAAAGAGTAATATAATATTAACTAGTTTTTTAATATGCTTTTATACTATTTTAATGCTAAGCCTCTAGAGGAGATTTCTAAGATACTAGGCGTAAGGATTACTTATAACTAAAAGTATAGGACTATCTACCTTAATTAAGAGCACTATCTTAATAAGGTTCTTATAGGTTTTAGAATTGCTATAGCAAAATATAAGAGCAAACTAATACTAGCCGATAGCTATAATAATCTTTAGCTAGCAAATAAGAATAATAAAAGGATAGATGTAACTTAATATTAGAGGATAATTAGGAGTCTAATATACGTGATAATCTTTACTAGACCCGATATAGCATTTGTCCTAGGATGCCTAGCATAGTATATAAGTAACCTAGCAATCCACTATAGAATAGCATTAAAAGAGTTAATAAGATACCTTTAGTTAACTATTAAGCAAAAGCTATACTATAGTCCTAGGGGAGATATAGACTACTTTATAATATTTATAGATGCTAATTAGATAAGTAATAAGTCTAATTAGAAAAGTGTTTCTAGGGGAGTTAGGGTCTTTTATAGAGGACTATTCTCTTAGATATTAAAGAAGTAAAGATTAGTAGCTAAGTTAAGCTATAAATTAGAGTATATTACCTAAGTAATATATGCTATATAGGGTTAGTAGACAGCGCAGATCTTTAGAGACTTAAGGATGCTAGAGTATATTAGAAGTAATAGTAAAGCGGTTAATATATATAGGGATAACCAAGGCGCCCTAGCCTTAGTCTAGAATCCCTACCTTTATAAATAATTAAAGCATATTAATATATACTACTACTATATCTAAGATCTAGTTAAAAAAGAGAAGATAAAGGTCTTATACTTACTAATATTAGAGATACCTATAGACGGTTTTACTAAACCCCTTAGTTAAGTTATATTTAGAGGATTCTTAGGGTAGCTAGGAGTTGTAACAGATTAGTAGTTAGTAGTTGCTTTTATTTTAGAAAAGTGGGAGAAGGGAAATAGAAGGAGATACTATAGTAAGAGCTATAAGGGAGTATTAGAAATATAGCCCTTACAGTATTAGGTAACGCGGCTGCTAGGGGACGCGTATAAGGTTCTTATAACCTCATCTTTACCTCTATAGTAGCTTTCCTCCTTTAAGCTAATATAACCCCTTTAACCCACTTCCCTAACTATGTCCCCATCTGGTCTATGTGTCCTTCTAGAGGTAATGATCCTAGGAGGCACATAGTTCCAATACAGACGTTGAATAATCATTTAACAGAATTCGGACCCCCTGAATAGGCGAAAGTGGGCCTTTTCGGGTCCTCGCTTAAGGTTGCGTAAGCCTAATGCGTTAACATTCCGGTAGTATGATAAAACTTCTTTAGTATACAAAGCAAATTTGAAGGGGCGAATAAAGAAGTAGTCAAGTAGGTCTGGTAGAAAGAGGTTTACGAAAGGGATCATATGCATCAATAGACTTTCTCGACCCGAGGCTGATTTCTAAGATTGTGAGAGTAGAATATAGACGTTAAGAAAAACTGGTTTAAGCGCTGTCCACTTCCTGATTGGTCCCACCGGCTACGCTAGGCTCTATTATACAACGGGATTCGTTGAATCGGCTATGAGAGTGCAAGCATATATATATGTGTGTACTATCGTATGATAACTTTTACACATATACTATGTTAGGTGTAAGTCTCAGGGGAGTCTTTAACACTAGACTCTAGCAAAAAAAAAGCAGGTATATATACCTGATTTTGCCATCATGCCAGTGCCAGTACCAATGCCCACTTCATTGCACTTTCACTTTCACCAAATACAGATTTCTAGCAACCTATCCTCAACTATTCTCTCATCATGTCGTTCCATAAGCAAATCGACCTAAGCGATAGACTACAGGGGCTGTCCACTGACAAAGTCAACTTCCATCCTCCGACCGGCATCTCAGTCTTGATTGTTGGAGCCGGAGTCGGTGGGTTAATGGCAGCTCTCGAATGTCGACGCAAGGGTCACAATGTGCGTGTCGTTGAGCGATCTCCGACACCAAGTACCCAAGGTATCTCAATTCTAAAGTCTTCGTGTTTGGAACTCAACCTCTAATTGCGAAAATGCAGGCGACTTCTTCTCCATCGGTACTAACATCATTCGTCACTTCTACAACTTCTGGCCTGACTTGGCTGCTGAGTTCGAGCGCCTCAACTATCAGAGTATGATTGCTTACTACAAGATTACGGGGGAACATATCTCGGGACCAGAACCACTTTCATGGGCCAACTTGACTGTTACTCTTGCCGATAGAACCGAGAAGACCATCCCCTTTCATCGCCACAACCGTCCAAAATTTGTCGAAGCGCTGTTAGCCCAGGCTAGAACCATTAACGTTCATATCACCTTCGGCACACGAGTCGTCGATTATTTCGAAGATGGGGAGAATGAGAAAGCCGGTGTTATTCTTGAAAATGGCGACAAGTTGGAGGCTGATATTGTTATTGCAGCAGATGGTGTCGGAACTAAGAGCAATAAGCTTGTGAATGGCCACGATATCCGCGCATATCCCAGTGGATTCTCCATTTTCCGGGCCGCGTTCCCCATCGATATTGCTTTATCTGATCCAGAGGTTAGAGCTCGATGGCCTTTGCTGGAGGGGGGACAGACTTACGGTGAGTTGTGGCAAGGGTGAGTATATCAATTGCACGACATCTTACAGCATGAGTGGGTACTAATATCACTTCGTAGAAAGGATATGTCTTTCACGGTGCAGCGATATACCGACATCATGAGCTGGACCTTGACGCATAAGGTACGTGTGTATAATTAGCTTAAAACAATATGACTGACAAAATCTCATAGGACGTTGGTACTGGCACAGAGTCGTGGCACCAAACCGTTGACGCTTCCAAAGCTCTTGAGTGCACATCGAAGAACCCAGGATTCCCCGATATCGCAAAACGCTTGATTAAGACCACACCTAAGGATGCCCTCGTTGATTGGGAGATCATGTGGCGTGATCCACGGGAGAATTGGATCTCGCCACTGGGTCGAATAGTTCAGGTTGGCGACAGCGCTCACACATTCTTACCCTCATCCGGGAGCGGCGCAACTCAAGCAATGGTGGATGCCATATCGCTCGCCACATGCCTTCAAATTGGCGGGAAAAGTAACATTGCCTGGGCATCCAAGATTCATAACAAGCTTCAGTGAGGCAGATTGTCCCCGATTTATATGCACGAGCTAACATGACCAACTACAGATTTCAGCGCGTCTCGTGCCTTCAGCTAAATGGCTTCATCAATCACCAGCGGCAAAACAATACAAACTTTGAAGTCATCGGAGAAGATGGAGACTCGTTTAAGAGCTATATTGGTAAATGGGCGTTGACACACGACGCGGATAAGTATGCCTACGAAAATTACGGCAAGGTTCTCAATCATCTTCTGTGTGGTGCACCGTTCCACAGCACGAATATCCCACCTGGATACACCTACAAACCTTGGACTATCGAGGAGATGTTTGATATCATTGGCGAGGGAAAGAAGATACAGTTTGATGGAGATTGGTCTTGATTGATTGTTTGAACTTGATCATGCCTACCTAACTATTGAGGGGCCTTCTCATACTCAGTCAATTCATACTTGGTGTAACTCACGTTATAAGTGGTCCTGACTCTGTACATCAAGGGGGGTGGATCTCGTGATCCGCACACGTGATATAGCTGTCCTTTAATGATACTTCGTATATCGTAACATTTATATTTCTTTCAATAGTAATAGTAGTATTAAGAATACATCATAGCAAATAAGCCAGGCTAACCCGGCATCAATAAAGCACTATAGACATAAAGGCTATAAATAGCTTTATCTTACGTAAGATAGCTAATGAAATTCCATCCTTCAGAAATCAGGAAATTCACTATTCCCGTTCCCGATTACTTCAACGTCAATTAATATCAACTATATTCGGATGTGCCGGTCTAATGAAACATTAAGATGAAAAGAAGTACTGTACTGCGTCTACATGAAAGAAATTCTTTACTGTGAGATATGGCGGGACGACGCGCAACAAGGTCTAAAACCGGTCCGTCCTGCCCTGCACCCATCACATCACGTGTTGCATACAAAAGCCAGCTAGCAGCAGACGCTGACCTAGATGTATACGATATGCGTAGGCTGTTTGACATGCAGGTGCAGTTTACCTTCTGCTGTGTTGAGATCCCTTGTTACTGGAATGCTTGCTAATTATTCATAGGAAACGCAAACTCAAATGCGACGAGATTCGGCCTACTTGTATGAAATGTGCTGCACAACGTTTCTCCTGTGACTGGCCTACAGAACATACTCCGGTGGAATCCAGTACCTTTCGCAACCAAGCCCAAGCCCAAACATCGCAGCACAGCGGGCTGAGCCGCCCCCGAGATAGACACTCACACATGGTTGCCATTGTGACGACAATCCGGCCAGCTCTAACGGCAAGGCATTTGAAGTGCGCAAACTCTCTCACGCTCACACCACAAGACCGACGCTCTCTCGAGTACTTTTCGTCTTCCACTCTCTACGGCATGTACAACTTCGGGCGGTGGGGCACCCTCCAGTATGTTGTGCGGGAAATAGCTCCGTCCAGCTGTGGTGTGATGCGCATGATCCTCGCCCTCACCACCAGCGAGATGCATCAGAAGGGTTTCCAAATAGGGGGCAATTCTGAGAATCCGGGCGTTGATCTAGGCCTCTATCATTACAACTTGGCGCTGAAGTATCTCAACGACTGCCTGGCAAAAGAGCAAGGTATGGGAGACCAAGAGAGCGTGGAAGCAATAATAGCAACCATATTTTTCATGGTCCATTATGAATTCCAGTTCTCAGTATCCGCGAATCGTGTCAAGGCACACTTTGAAGGCTTATGGGCTGTGATTAGTACCCATCCGCTGTTCCAAAAGAACGTTGGGGATAGCACGGTACTACAAACGCTTCCAGAGGCCAAGATAGATGCACGTTTCGTTCTGTCCTGCCAACTAGTCGTATGGCTTTTGTCTGTTAATCCAATCTCGCTTTTCATTCAAGCCGTCCTTGCTGATACAACCTAGACTTGCAGATATCATGGCAACAAGTGCTGGAGCCTCGACCTCACTATTTAGGCGGCTGTGTAATTCTACCAGTCCCTTTCTGGAGCCCTGTCACCTATTTAAGACGTCTCGCATCGGTATCTCCAAGGTGTGGGGGAAGAGATCGCCACCAAGTCAAGTACTATTCGATATGGAAATCCACCGCCCGGTCGAATTTGCACACCAACTAATTCAAATGCGGTTCAATGTCTGGGATTTGAAGACCCGGGGGATAGATTGCAACGTTTCAGGCTTCACCTCTGCCTCGTTGCTCAAGCAGCTACTAAATCTCAAGGAGGTGAGTCTTCGGCACCCTTCCTGATTCCCTGTAAACATCCATCCTAACACTCGCATCAGGAATACTTGGACGTCCTCCAAGTATCCGAAGCAACTGCAACGATGCCGTGGACGCAAACCATGGAGACCGTAACCAGGGTGGTAGCCAGCTACTGGGCATGCCTGCTCTTCCACCGGCGCATGTTCGACACGGGCGGGCCTCCCGATGCGTTCCACCGGGCCGTCGTGACCAAGGTGACGGATCTGCTACACGTACTCTATGAGCACGAGCGGAACAATGGCCGTGCGGTATGGTGCACGTTCATGGCAGCGATCGAGGTTGATGACGCTGTTCGTCGGAGCTGGCTGCTTGAGCGGTTGCGGGAAACGAGTGCGCTGTCGACGGAGTGCGGGTGGGCGTATGCTACGGCAGAGGAGATACTGAGGGTGCAGAGTGCGCTGGGAACTCAGACGCCGTGGGTTGATTTGGCGGCGTATATGCAACAATCCCAAGACGGATATACTGCATGAGGGTATGGGGTGCTAAACTTTGGTGAAACTGGGTTTTTGTATGAATACATGTTTCTCTAAAGCTTCATTCATCTTAGAGGGTTAATATTCTTGCTGCATGTTACGCAAAGGGGTCTTCAAATCGCCAGCTGCTTAATGACAGACTGCATTGTCTATTTCTATAGTTCGATACAAGAGGGATCACCTAAGTAGAATCCAGCTAGTTAGTAGCGTGCTTACTTCATAGGAGTCAAGACCAAGGCTTAGTATATGTCAAACAAGGTCTATATTACAATAGTATTAATAACGCAATCGAATCTCACTTTATATCTGAAGTGCTAGCACTACGGTATATCGCTACGGTTTACTAATCGACTTGTGTCTCGAGCCACATGTACCGCACACTCGCCGAATCAAAACTTTTGCAATCTTTAAGGTTAGCCTCTTCATGAATACATAAGTGCTTACTACACTATCTAAACAATCTAACAGAACTCATCATCTGCCTACTGGCTTGGAGATCTTGCCAACGTATCCCTTCAGCGAATCGCCGGCATATCGTTCCCCAATAAAAAGCTAACCCAGAAGACTTTTGATACATAGTTTGATATTTCCGTACTTAATAGGATATTCTTGCTTGTCGCTTGCCTAATAGAGTGATTCCTTGCCTTCGCTTTCAGCCTGCAGAAAGAAATCAGCATTCGGAAATAGTTCGTATTGTATTCTTTATACATACCGCATGAACCTCGCTTAGTGAAGGCATCCTGCTCTGGCAAGTGAGACCGCCATCTGCAGTGTAGACTGTTCAAATATTATCAGAATTGCAGGCAGAATTAAGGACTTATGAAGGAGGGCTGGAGGGAAGGATGGCATACGACTTCCTGTGACGAAAGAGGCATCGTCTGAAGCCAAGAACATGGCAACAGAAGCAATCTCTCGTGGATCTGCAGGCCGACGCATCGGAGTGCCTTGGGCGACCAGGGCGCGAACTTTAGGTGTCGCACTCAATGCAGTAGACATGGGCGTATCGATCCATCCGGGGACAACAGCATTAACCCGGACATTCTCCAAGGCGTGATCCGCGGCCATGACCCGGGTAAGATTCCCCAGGGCCGCTTTGGCTGCACAGTAAGCACCCAACCCAATATCGCCGATAATAGCTGTCGTTGACAGAGTATTCACGATTGAGCCGCCGCCCTGCTTGGCCATGTGTGGAATGGCCGCGCGACAGATATAGAATGGGCCGTCGACACCGACTTGGAAGACACGCTTCCACGTCTCAGGATTCATCTCGGGAACGGTACCCCAGGCAAACATCGAGGCGTTGTTATGAACAATGTCAATCCTGCCGAACTGCGTAATGGCCTTGGTGACCACGCTGGTGGCCTCTTCCGCATCGCCAATATCGACCCGATGAAAGTATACCGAGTCTTTGGGGAATTGAGACACGAATGTTGTCCCCTTCTCGACGGCGCAGAAATCGGCCACGAGGACTTTTGCACCTTCGGCCACGTAGCGAGTGGTCAACGCTGCACCCACGCCTGAAGCGCCGCCTGTGATGGCAACAACCTTTCCCTCAAACCGACCTGGGAACGTGAGCACCATTTTCACTCGAGAATGACAGGCTGTGTAGTTTGGAATAGGAAATTCGATTAGGCAAGTTGTTGCAGTTGGTCTTTGAAACGATGAGAGGCGCTGGTATCTATCTACTTGTAACTTGCAGAACACGTACTAACTGCTCGATGCGTTGTAGTGCAGTGCCGGGAGCTGCAGTGGATGAACATGAACGCGGGGTAGACTGCATCTTCGTATAGGACTCCGCATTTTGACCGTAGCTTGGTGCTATAGCTTGTCCTATATCTTTTGGTCTGTTGAAACTCCGTACCAATAAAGGTGAACATTCGCTTTATTAACAGGGGTTTGTTGCATCCCGCGGATGGGCTCTCCCGCGGATGTGAAAGGGGCGCTCGGCTGAAAATCCATCCAGATCTGTAGTCCGAAGTCCCGTGGCGCCCATTAACTCCGTACCGCAGGCTTCATGTGAGCAAAAGAGTAAAATGGTCAGGCATGAGGTCATTTTGCTATCGCCTGTCTATCTTTTCTAGATCAGTTTATCGTACGATCCCCTCATTCTCTTTCGCAATCAAAGAAAAATATCAGTCCAGAAGCCGGCAATAAATAACGTTCGCCTTGAGCTTGATCTGATATATATATAGATATCGAGAATCCATACCATACACAAACAGAACAGAATAATCTTTCGTCATGGCACCATCATTAGACTCAGAACCGGACATCCTCCGTGAAGTCCATGCCCAAGCCAAGAATGCGCCTCTCTACGACGAACGGGGATATCGTATTGGAGACTCCCCTCTGGGAACTCGGCGCCCAATCAAAGTGCTAATCATCGGGTTTGGTGCGGCAGCCATCAATCTCTGCCATGTATTGGGCTCGCAGCCAGAGAAGAGTAATATTGTGATACAATGCTACGAAAAGAATCCAGAAGTTGGAGGAACCTGGTATGAGAACAGGTAATGTTAACCTTCGAGTGAGGAGAAGAAGATTTGTAAAGTCGAAAGACTAATAGCCTACTGTTCACAGATACCCTGGTTGTGCTTGCGACATCGTACTTCTCCCACCCAGTCAAAGTGAGCTATAACTGACTCCAAATAGCCTTCCGTG